ACTTTGTACACTCAAATAGCTTTGATGATGAAGAAGAACTGAGGAACAGTGTCATCGAAGCATTCAATAGAATAACCCCAGAAATGCTTAGTAATGTCTTTAGAAGCAACTGTGAGAAGAGGAATATATCTTTGTTCAGAAAATAATGGTTATCATTTTGAACATTTCTTATAAATGTTTCTGAAGGTATTGTCAAAGTTAAGTTGTTAAAGTAATTCGTGTAAGAATTCATCAACAATTTCAAGCGCTGCATTGAATGATGTAGTGAAATATTTTTTATTCACTTTTCAGTATTGAATAACTAATCCATCAATGTTTGACACTGAATGATCAGAAATAAATGGAACTGATGGCACTTTTCCTTTGAAAGTTCGAAAAAACATTGATGATGGATAGAAATAGGTCGAAACACATTCGAATCACCTTGTCTAATACATGGTTGAATTCAGAATAAAAAAAACCTTTCAGAATCTGTGAAAAAATTATCAGGACCGTATTTAAAAAACAAAAGTTGATGATGGTTCTACGGATACGAAACGTCGCATAAAAAAATCGGTATAACCACGTTAAATGTCATAAAAAGTTGCAAAAAAAAATGAAATAGATATTCCAAAAATTCACTTTTTTCGATATAACTAAAAAACTAAAAATAATTTTTGAAATTTTCGAAGGCTCTTGATATGAGCCTCCGAATGCGCAACTTTTTCCCCATTTAACCCACTTCGTATCTCCTACCGTTTTCGAGATTCCCATGCTGTTCAACCTTATCTTGGACAGACTGTATATTCATGATGTATGGACTTATAAACAAAGTCCATGATAACAGTCGAAGAACAACCAAAACTGATGAAAACAGGGTGATATACCACCGCATGTTTACTTCTATACGGTGGTGATACTTTTACTTGCCAAAAAAACTATATAACCGACAGTATACGACAATTAGGAGGGAGAAAGAGTTTCCTTTTAGCCGCTGGATGTTCGGTGACTCGACAGCACACGATTTGAGCCCTTTACCACACAGCCTTTACCCCGCGACGCGTCACCCTTCTCTTCTCGCATCGAAGGGATGATAAGAGGGCGGCAAGAGGCAAGAGGATACGAACAGGAGAAGCGCAGATGGAGACGCGGGATGGGTAAGTAGGTATTTATGGAAAATGAGTGCGCAATTTAAGCGACAAATTTGGATTCGCGGCTATTTTCCTATCCCCTTCTCGTAATTCTGTCATTGGAACTATATTGCACTTATTTTTTCATTTCTAAATCTGGATAATTAAACATAGATAATGCCGATTTACTGCGTTATGCATGCGTTACGTTATCAGTAGGTACTCACACACGATATTTATAGACATCACTGATTGCATGTAGTTTCAGTGAAACATATTATTTCATAATTTTGAAGTACTAACCCTATAACCAAATAACTATATAGTTTACTTACTGTCACAAATCGTTCTTTCCTCAGAGCTCTGTAACTTTTTTAAATAATTATTGAAATTCACGATATTTCATAACATGAAAACGAGGGAAAACGCTTAGATAGTCATTTAAATCTGAATCAGGAATGAATTTTCTGGATCGAATACTTACTGCAGATAACAAAAAACACAACGCACAACCAAAGAATCAGAAAATACGAGGATTATTTTTGAATATTCGCATCTTGACTAGTAGACCGTTGGCCCATAACACTAGGGGTGTCGATTATCTACGAAGGTATGCCCTTCAAGAGACATGAAGATTGAGTTGGATTATCGGGAAAAAAGTGGTTAGTTGGATCGGTACCCGGTCGCCCATCTCCCTAATCAATCAACTTCCTGTTGAAAGTAATGTTGAAAATTGTATTATAGAAGAAGCTTTAAAATTCATTGGAATAGTCGCATCTCGCCAAATTAACCGGGCGCTAGCCGATTTGCATACGTCTAGGTCGGTCCCGAAGGGCGGCATACGGACCGCAAGTTACCGTTAACCGACATTTCTCTTAGATTATTTACGATGGTATGCCCTTTGGTTAATTCCTTCATTTCGACCCATGAATCAATGCCATAACATTTGCATACAGTTTGGGTGGGCGAATTTAGACATATTCGAAGGTCACTTTACATCATCGATTATATATATCAAGATTATATAATTTTGTATGCCATTCAATCAGGTGATAGATTCAGTTATACTGAATAAGAAAATAGCGTTTGCATACGAATGTATTGTGAGCATACGTCGATTTTGCTATAGGGAGTCTATTTTTTTCAGTTTTTTTAATATTAAAAAGTTGAAACTGGAAATTCCAGGATGATCGAGTGCCAAGGGCTCTCAGTGAGGTTTCGGGATTACTAAGCTCGAATCTGGCACCTACTACTAGTGCCGGGGGCCGGGGATGATAGAGGATGACTCTAGGGGGGATGTCAGGGGTCAGGGGGCGCATCTCATTTGCAGAACCGGCAGATAGTCTTGTTGGATTCTATGAATCTGATCCTCTTGGAGTTACAATGGGAGTTTCTAAAGGATCAATCTTGGATCCCATGTTTTTTGTTATTTTCATGAACGATATTGTAATATTCCCCTGAGAGGGGCTCGAACATCATCAAGAAGGCGTATAACGATCTTCCTGTATCACGCGTATCAGATTGTTCCCGAGTATCCCAATAATTCTAACGCATGAATCAGCATATTTTCGAACACCCAATATGTATTGTGAGCATACGTCGATTTTGCTATAGGGAGTCTATTTTTTTCAGTTTTTTTAATATTAAAAAGTTGAAACTGGAAATTCCAGGATGATCGAGTGCCAAGGGCTCTCAGTGAGGTTTCGGGATTACTAAGCTCGAATCTGGCACCTACTACTAGTGCCGGGGGCCGGGGATGATAGAGGATGACTCTAGGGGGGATGTCAGGGGTCAGGGGGCGCATCTCATTTGCAGAACCGGCAGATAGTCTTGTTGGATTCTATGAATCTGATCCTCTTGGAGTTACAATGGGAGTTTCTAAAGGATCAATCTTGGATCCCATGTTTTTTGTTATTTTCATGAACGATATTGTAATATTCCCCTGAGAGGGGCTCGAACATCATCAAGAAGGCGTATATATAACGATCTTCCTGTATCACGCGTATCAGATTGTTCCCGAGTATCCCAATAATTCTAACGCATGAATCAGCATATTTTCGAACACCCAATATGTGTCGCAGCGACAGAAACATCTCAAAACAATCGATGGAACTATTAGAGAGAGAGATACTTTTCTATGAGAAGCTTCGAGAACAAAAGAAGGGTACCGATGATTTTCGGGAACATTCGACAAGCATATAGCCAGCCAAATCATCTGATATATAAGGACGACAGGACAGCAGGTGGTCAGTGATTGTCAGAGAGACAGCCATATACCGCGTGATATAAATGGTTCGACATAACATAAATAGTAGTTATTATGTTTGTTATAAATGAGTGTTCGTTCCCTTTCGTGAATTAGGAGATGTTTTGAAAAAAAAAAGATTCTCCTTCCTAATTTACAGTTGCAACTGTGAATTAGGAGATCAACAGTAAATTAGGCAAATATCCGTGAAAAAAAAGTTTTTTTAGGGTGGCAGTTCAGACGTGTCGTACAGACATAATAATTAGTTTCTTAGTGGTTTTTGAACCAAAAACTGATTTTTCGAAACATCGACCTCGAATAACTCGAAACGGGTAAATCGGGACGAGTTTTGTGTAAGGTCTAAAGTCAGAAAGAATTTGATTGTCGATATCTTGAGCTCTCACAGGGTGTTGAACGAATTTTGCCGCCATTTTTGCTAATTTTACTGGGCTAAATGTAATCCCCGCAACTCGCAAATCGTATGCAAATCATTGTTCCATGCATAGTTTATGCTTAACTAACCTTGATCAGAATTTGGGAGCTTCGTAGATAATCTTGTACATACAGGTCAATGATGTAAAGTGACCTTCGAATAAGTCTAAATTCACCCACCCAAACTGTATGCAAATGTTATGGCATTGATTCATGGGTCGAAATGAAGGGATTAACCAAAGGGCATACCATCGTAAATAATCTAAGAGAAATGTCGGTTAACGGTAACTTGCGGTCCGTATGCCGCCCTTCGGGACCGACCTAGACGTATGCAAATCGGCTAGCGCCCGGTTAATTTGGCGAGATGCGACTATTCCAATGAATTTTAAAGCTTCTTCTATAATACAATTTTCAACATTACTCTCAACAGGAAGTTGATTGATTAGGGAGATGGGCGACCGGGTACCGATCCAACTAACCACTTTTTTCCCGATAATCCAACTCAATCTTCATGTCTCTTGAAGGGCATACCTTCGTAGATAATCGACACCCCTAGTGTTATGGGCCAACGGTCTATAGACTCATGGAAGGATTTGACGTCTTGACGATGAAGGTGACAGCCAATGTGACAGCCGATATTAACGTCAGGAAGTGCCCGTGCCACAAAATAATTTGGGATTAAATAAAATCTTGATAGTTATTAGGAATACTAGGATATTCTTATTATTGGTACTGAAGCATTATCCTATTGCAAGTATTATATAAATATTTAATGATGTGATTACTTTTGGGATCAGGTCGAACTATATGTATATTGTCTTCTGTGAATGTGAAATACTATTATATTGTCATTGGATCCTACTTTTTATGATCTGTTTTTATGCGAAAGCCTGAATTCGGTTCATGACGTCATCGAACCGGCGTTTTTCGAAGTTGCCGAATTTAATTTTTGAAAAATTATATTTGCGATGATTTTAAATAACGAATGCTCAATATAATACGTTTACGTACAACCATATATTATTAGATGTGTTGATGTAATGAAAATTGTCCGGATAGCCTTAATAGCTGTGGAGAATTACGTATCTGTGGCTCTGTGGCCTACGAATAAATGATTAAACTGTGGCCTACTTTAGCAGAGTGATGAGTACAGAAGAAGATTTAATGACATTTCTCATTTCATTTTTCATTTGTTTTGTGTTTTTGTTTTGATCCGTTTTGATCCATTTTGATCTTCCTCCTAATTTTTTCGAAATCTCGTAATCTCGAAGAAATTATGGTTTGACAACTAATTACTTAATGCTGATTCCACACCATGAATAAAGAAAGTTCTGTCAACAATATATCAGTGGAAGAGTTTTCTGAAATTTGTCGTATCTGTTTTAACAAGGAAGGATTAGAACCTTTTGAACAACATCCTTTATTAAATATTTATCAGAAAATAACGGACCTCCAAGTAGATTTGCAATACACATCGTTTTACAGTTGACTCAAAATCTGGATTTTAGGTTGATACCCATGAAGGGCTGCCCATGAAAATATGTTACAAATGCAGTAGAAAACTGAATGAGGTTTCAATGTTCATCAAGATCTCTAAAACCAGTGATGAATATTTAAGACGTATTCTTCAAGAGAGCAGAGTCCAAAGTGTGCCAGAACTACAAGTAATATCACACTCTGTAACAGAAAGGTCAGATACTGATGAAGAATTGGAATCATCAATAACAAAAACAAATTCTAAAATTCAAAATTATAAATGTGAAATCTGTAGTGAACATTTTGAGACAAAAAGCAAATTATCTGCCCATCACAAAACAAGTGAAAACTGTAAATCAAAGCCCCTGAAATGTAGTCACTGTAACAAAATGTTTCTTGATGATATCCAACTCAATTCACATGTACTTTCACATACCAGTAAGGTTCTACATGAATGTAAGATATGTTTGAAAAAGTTTCATCATTCTAAGAATCTCAAAAGGCATGATGATATTGTGCATAAAGGATTGAAACCATACAGATGTGAAATTTGTGGCAAAGGTAAGAGCTATAATTGCATTCTACCAAGAAGGCTGGAATTGAAATCATTAATTCTTTGTAGATTTCTCCAGATTGCTGACAAAAAATGACCATGTTTATTCCCACAAAGCAGAAAAACCTTACAGCTGCAAACTTTGCTCTGAAACTTTCTCATCATATACAAAACAGTTTTTTCACATGTACTTACACAAAATTGAGAGCAGTGAAATAACAAATACCTTATTGGTAGTCAGTAAAACTGAAAGTGGTCAGCTAGAAGCCAAGTGCAAAGAATGTATGAAAATATTTTCAACTCCTAAGACTGCTTACCAGCACACCCACAATCCCCAAGAGAAGAAAGCTGAAGAAGAACGGACGTTTCTATGTACAATTTGTGGTAAAACATTCAATCGCAAGGCACATTTACAATCACACTATAGGTAAGATTGAGATAAAGATCTACATAAGAAAATATATGGATCAAAGTTAAATTTGGCCAGGCTGTTAATAATACATGTGGTAGTATGATATTTTTTGTTATCCTGAACTAAAATTCCAAGTTGAAAGGTTTTAGAGTGGTTTATTTTTATTGTTTCCAAGACATTATTTGTGAAATTCAAATAGAAATGACGCTTTCCTTTATAAGTTTTCGGAATCCAAACAAATAATACGCATATTTTTTGTGATAAATTTGAAAAAGTGTAAGTGACATGTAGTGAAAGTCACCCAGTAGGCCATTTTTCATCTTTATTCAAGCAAAATCAAAATCACCCAATTCGAATTTCATAATAAATTATTATTGAGTTGTTTCCATATTATGATGGACTTCATGGAATACACTGTACCTATACTCTCTTTATATTTTGTTGCATTCCTCCATTCATTATTTGATTATCTCAAATATGGTCAATGGGAATTATTTATTATTCCATCATTCATGTTTCTCACCCAGGACTCCCAGGAGGTTATTTGCATTCTTCTTCTACTTTTCCTTTCGTTTTCAGTTCGGGCGTTTTCGGATGTAACGAACAGCAAAACTTATCATATCTATATTCATACTAGATTCATCGATTAGTCATCGCTTAGAGAGTCATCGTTTGCCATTTGATAATTTCTGAATTTCCCTAGTTTTGAAACACAAATGATTTGGATCATTTCAATGGAAATTCTAGATTGCAATGACATAGTTTTCCACTGTTAAAACAATTGAGTAGTGAAATTCCTCCCGACTACTTCAGCGAACAATGTATGAGTGTCGATCTCATTTTGGCAATGCAATACAATGCATCCTGTTGCATATCTGCAACATATCTAGTCATTTGCAGTTTTCTACTCAATTAAGGCATATCGATTCAGTGGCGTGTGGCCAGGTGTGGCGTTATTATTGAGTAACACCCATTACATGTTTGAAGTGGTTTGGATTAACTTCGAGTCGTCATCAATAGGTGGCACTCACAATAATTGATAAAATGGATGACAATTTGAACGTGTTCGTATATCAATGACTGTATTTGGCAACGCTGATGAATAAAAGTGATTTCTCAAAGTATCATTACCCATTTTCATGACCTGATGCTAAACATTGTTTTATAGGTAAGAAATAAAGTATGTTATATGATATTAGTTTTCTGTTACTGTCATTCGAAAAAATTTGAGGTCACTTCAAAAATGGTGTTGCACATACGCAACAACTTGCATACGAGCTAGCCTTTATTAGAGAGTTGAAGTAATCACTGTACGTAGACCTCCACGTCGACGTTAACGTACGAAAAATAACGTTTACGTATTGTCGTTAAATTGAGTTGAAGTCGCCACTTTGGTCGTCACTGTCATCATAACGTAATAATACATTTTGTTTTCGGTTTGTATTGGTCATTTTTGGTTGTGTGTTCAGATTCGAACATTTATTCCTGTCAAAATTAGAGGACTCCTTGATGCAGAACTCGTTGGTGATCTCGAAATTGATAATTTTGACTCATCGGCATATTTCGAGTATAGTTTGGTTAACGTACGTTGATATTTAAGGTATACGTGAAGGAACGTGAGATAACGTACACCCGTAAGCCCACTAACAACGCGAACGTGAAGAATTGGAAAATGCGCATGCGTAGCTGTCAATTTCTACGTTCACGTTAACGTTCATGACACCACTTCAACTCTCTATTATCATTGGGATCTTGTAAACCGTTAGAAATACAGGATCGGTTGAATCATGGCAGAAATGCGCAAGTTTATACCTAACAAAATGCTGTTTTGAAACTTAGAAACAAGAAATTTCCTGTCTTTATTATGGTCACTTTTTCTTCCCTACAAGTTGGCGTTTTCAAATTTGAAATCTGACGTTTTGTCTTTTTTTTATTTCATTTTTCAATACCGTTGAATATCCCAAATGTTGTGAGCAATCACAAATTCTTATTTTCGAATGTTTCGTTCATTGTATATAAAACTAGCAGACCTCGCAAATGTTGTTTGGCTATATACATTATTTTTATAATATATTTTTTCAGTTTATCATTCATCAAGACACTATTATTATTTTATTTTCTACTTCTTTTTAGTTTGGCTATCTATAAAAGCGCGTTTCTTTAGTTTTTCAAACTATTATTTATAAACTTCTTGTCCATGTGATGAAAATATTAATTCTTTCTCGGTTTATTCAACAGAAAACAACTATACTTTCCTGGCGATATGCTACGACGAACATTGAATTACTTCTATTGAACACACACGATAAGAATTTGAAAACACACGTCCTGTATGATGAATATCAATTTATCATACATCCAAAAAGGAATCATAATCTTTGATCATGAAAACCCCTTGGTACCAATTTTGAATAGAATCGGATTATAATTACAAAACTCGTCCGCCATATATTGGTTCCGCCATCTTGAATTTCCCAAATTTTGACGAATGAATCGTAATCTCCGACCCCGAATACCCCCAGATACCAATTTTGAATAGAATCGGACAATATAATTACAAAACTTGTCCGCCATATTGGATCCACCATCTTGAATTTCCAAATTTTGACGGAAGAATCATAATCTTCAACCCAGAAAATTCTCAAATACCTATTTTGAATAGAATCGGATTAGAAAATCTGTCATATTGGATCCGCCATCTTGGATTTCCTAATGGTACCGGGATAAAAAGTATCCTATAACCTTCTCCTGGTTCTAAGCTACCTCCCCACCAATTTTCAGCCAAATCGGTCCAGTAGTTTCGAAGCCTATTCAATACATACCTACAAACAAACAATGAAATCTTTCCTCTTTATCATATTAGTATAGATTGACAGTTTCGTATTGAATATTTATTATTGTAGATTTTTTTCAATCATGTTCACCAGGCATGCTGTTTTACACATTATGTAACAATACAAAATGTTCGACAAAAATAGTAGATTGTTTTATTAGGCCGAGCGAAAGCAAAATTTGCGAGTCGAACAAAGTCACTTTTGATCCGAATGAAACATGCTATTTTTTTTGCAACCGAAACAATTAACTCAAATAAACATGTGAAGTAACCACCAATGCCGTGCCATATGTATGCAATGCAACAAATATTGACAAATAATCCACGTGGTAAGAATATTCTACCTGCATTAACAGCAGGTTAGGTTTTCTATAGGATGTTAGAATTGTAGTTTCAATATAAATACAACTACAGAGTGACATACTTGTGTATAGACCAGGTGCTCTAATGGCAAATACCGCGCCATTGCCAGCTATAGGAACAAGACGTGGACGTTAGGTTAGTGAGCATATTAACAATCTGAGTTAACAATGATAATAGTGATTATTTATTCCTCTCCATGATACACTGTGTTTTTCAAAAACAAGTTATCCATCCCGAGAATAACGAATGAAATACAGATCAAGCAAGCATTTGAATCTTGAAGGCTTCCCTGATCAAAACAAAAATACTTAACTGAGATGTTTATAATTCCAATACTAAACTATATATAATAAGGTGTATTTATAACTCCAGCATGGGTATGGAATGCCAAATCTGCTGAAATCGGAAATAAATCATATGCGTATGCGTCTCAACCCAAATAACCAACCGTCACAATGTTGTTTATTCTTGATGACGTCCAGTAGATCCTTTTTAGTTCATAGGAACTGAAGTTCAACTTCAGCTCCTAGGAACTAAAATTCAACTTTAGCTCCTAGGAACTAAATATGTTGCCAGCAACATACCTATTTTTGTGTCAGTAATAGAAACGTCAATTCAAGAGCTAATTTTGGTATCAAAATGGACGACTTTTGTGTCGGTTGCAGAAAAAATTATATAAATGAAAATAGGATTTTTTCGATGATTTTTACATGTTCTGGATAGAATTGCTCCTCCGAAATATTTGTTCAACAAAAAAAAATCATACATTGTAGAGTCGGTTACCTATGCTCTTTTTCTCAATTTTTAGATTACACAGCGGCGAAAAACCCTACGAGTGCACACTCTGCAACAAGAAATTCCGTCACTTGGCCAGGTACAAGAGCCACAATTTGCTGCACACCGGCCAAAGACCGTACTCGTGCGAAATCTGCGACAAGAGTTTCGTGCAGCTGGACCACCTCAAGCAGCACACGAGCGTGCACTCGGGGCGGAAACCGCACGCATGCGCCTTCTGCCGGAAAACGTTTGCGCACAAGTGCAATTTGGTGGTGCACGAGCGGATCCACACTGGAGATATGCCTTATAAGTGTTCTTTGTGTGATAAAGAGTTTTATCATTCTAGTACGATGAAAAAACACGAGAAGATACACGGGAATGATGGGAAAACTGTACGAGGTAAATTGGTTAAAGGTAAATGAGAAGAATAGTTATTGACATAACAAGTGTGGAATAAAAAAGCGTACAAGTATAGGTCGCGTGCACGAAGACCGACCCTGGAGGCAAAATATTGAAACACAACCTCATTCTTCTGTGAATTATTGAAACACAACCTCACTTTTTTATTTGGTTACAGAGGAATCAAAAGGTTGAAATAGTTTTTCACAATATTTTGGCATACGAATCGTGTTTCTTGCGTTATTCATTAATTCAAGCATGCCTTCGCATTGTGCTGTTGTACAATGCACAAAAAATGCAGCAAGAGACTAGGGAATATGATTTTTCAGGTAAATAGTAATCTCACATAGTTAGCATTATGAAATGTTGTCATTCCTTATTAAAATTCCTCCTGCCTTCTGCCACTTCTGCAATACAAGCTAATGCTGCTAATAGATTGAAAATGTCTACAACACAAACGATCGTCAGCATGTCAGACCAGTCCTACCGATTGATTGCATGAATCCAATTTTCTTGCATTATTCTAGAAATTTCAGGTATATTTCTATTAGCAGATCCTATGGCAGAAGGAATTCCGATGAGAAATCAGAGAAATAACCAAATTTCAAAAATGAAAACTATGTGAGTGACTATAGTAGGTACTTACTTTTGAATCATAATGTACCAACCGGATTACTTCGTCTTCCGTTGCAGTTTTTGTGCATTTTACAACAGCACAATGTGATGGCATTAGCGAATTGATGAATAGCGTAAAAATACGATTCCTATGCCAAAATAATTGTGAAAAACTATTTCAATCACTTGTAAACAAATAAGTAAAGTGACGTTTGTGTTTCAATATTTTGCCTCCAGTGTCGGTCATCTGACAGATCTTGCACGCAACCCATTGAAAAGAGAGGTTAACGTCAACCGAGATCTAGTTGTGTAAAACTGGCTCAGCCAATGCTTTAAATTTTTGACAACCTATGACAACTGTCAACATTTGGTAAACAATAATTCCTGATAGCCCGTTTTACGCAAATAGTATGACGTTAATTTCTCTCTCTAATACTTGTACGCTTTTTTATTGAATACAACTGTATGTACAATGCTTTTTGTATGAGTTTTTTGTACATATTATTTATGAAAAATAGGGTTTTAATTAATAAAAGATGTTGTAATAATGCAAATATGTAAAATAATACATAAGGCAGAATAGTTACATAGATAGATCATTTAGTTAGTCCTAATTATCCTAATTTTCAACAATATTAAAAAATCGTGCGGGCAAGTAACTTTTCATCACCAGTGCGATAAAGACATTTTTCCGCACGATTTTTTCTATGCATAGTGCGGAAAAGTAAAAATCCTGCGGAAAAGTAAAATCGTAAGGAAAAGTACTACTTTTAAAACTGAAAATCGTGCGGAAAAATCAAAGGAGATAGCTATTATCTACTTAACAAGTGCGGAAAGCAGTACTTTTCCGCACGCGACAGCTGTTGCACGAACGACGCAGAGCGAAGTATGTTCTTAAAGGAAAAGGCAGCACCTGAAATATCTTCAACGTATTCATCGATAGAATAAAAACTAATTATTTGACAGATAAGATTTGATTGTTCGTTTGAACTCATTCATATTTAAGATTTTAACTTGATGTGGCAGTGCATTATGAAGATTGAAATCTAAAGATTTTTTTGTGAAACAGAGAGCCTATATCTAGGGATTCTGGTATTATCAGAATTCCTAGTGTTATGATGGTGGACATCAGCCTGTGTAGTGAGATTTGACGATATTTTATGGATTTCGTGAAGTGAATTGTAAATATATAAAGACGGAAGAGTCATAATTTTGAATTTGGTGAATAACGTTCTATAGGTATCTAGTCTCATAATTTGAAACAATGTCTGAGCTGACGTAAAAGAAACAATGCACTTGACAATTTATGCTTCAAATGTTCTATATGGGAATTCTAACTCAATCCCTGACAAGGTGATACCGAGTAATTTTACCTCTCGTTTCTCATCACTATGCTGACGAGTACGGAAGAAAAGCCTCTGAGACTTGTCATTATTGAGTTTTAGATTGTGAGCTCTGAACCATGTCTCAACCTCTCTCCTTCAATATCTTTAGACCGATCTACAAATTTAAAGGGGGTCATGAAACTGCTTAGCTCATTGACATAAATAATGAATAGAAGTGGCCCCAAGACAGAGCCTTGAGGCACACCATGATTCATTTATTTAAAATCGGATGTTTCATCATTGAAATGAACAGTCTGAAATCAATTTCTCAGATAAGATTCAAAAAGGGAAATTGCAATTCCTCTGATGCCATAAAAATGTAACTTAAGTTAATCCGGTATACCGTAATTTAATGTAGATATTATCCCTAATTTCCGAAAATGAAGGTTTATCGAACCTGTCCACAGGTAACCAATCCTTCAAGTTGGGAAAGTAGGATATATAAGCAAGCCAAGGTTAGTTTAGTTCATGATACCAGTGTGCTACTGTGTTAGAACATGTTGTGTGTTTAAGAATTTTGTGGAAATCTTATCGTTTGTGAAGTTTTTACATTTGCCATGGATATCCATCAAGTAACGGCCGAGTCAATTAAAAAAAAAATTAAAAAAGTTTGAGTTGAGCTTGCATTTTCTGTTGAAATAAAGGATCATATTAATTATCAGACACTACTTATGTATTACATAATGTTATGTATATTATTCGTCAAAGGCAGAGAGAATGTATGGTTTTTGTTCGCTTTTTCTGTAAATAATATCGGTCACGAAACTTTCTTCATTCATGCAGCTTCTGCTAGTCGACTTGTCCTCCTGGGCTTTCAATCGCCGATTCCTGAAGAGATACGATTTTATGGTCTGCTGCTGGTTTGAGGTTATGTCGGTTTCTCTCATGTCCAGCCATTGCAAAGTGTAATTCTCATTCAAAGCTTCCACCACATACTAAGTAAATTGAAAATCTTCATTAAAGAATCTATTAATTGATATTCGCGGGAATCAATGTTACCAGGTGGCGCTCGGTTTTCATCGTTTCATGTCAAAGCCACGTCAAAACTGGGGGAAAACAAACCCAATCCTCACTCAATCCTGTTAGTGCCACTAGCTTGTGTACTGTGTACTGATAAGAGTGATAAGTTTTCAAATTTCTTGACATTCATTGTCAATATTCGATTGAAAACGCTAATAATGCCTGTTGTAGATGTTCTCTTGGCAAATATTTTGCTCTATTTATATGGAAAAAGCCGACCAGTAGTGGAAGGAGAAGCAGTTCTCCGTGCTAATCATGTGATTTTGTGTGAGGCAGAAGACTTCAACAAAAGGCACATGTTTGCACTTTGTCTACAAACTTCGGCGATGAAATCTTCCCCACATGAAGTAAAATCGAAGTTGGGGTCCAGAGGAACTTCTGTAGAACAATGGATTTGTATTTGTTTATGCAAAGCAGGACAATCTGGGTATTGTAAACATGTTGTAGCTCTTCTTTTATATGTCAATTGATTTGCTCGTCATAATTAGTTTGAATTGTTTGAACTATCTCCAATTTTTCACCCGTTCACTGTTCACTAAAGTGATAAAAATGTAATAATATAAAAAAATTAAACAACTCAACCGTCATCACTACCAACAGTGCCAACGCTTTATGTCATTGACAAGTTTGACTACAGCTACAGCAAGCTGAATGCAATGTAGTCTATGCACTTCATCCATAGACAACGGTTTGTTTTCCCCCAGTTTGAAGTTCGTATTATGTAACCTAGATGTCGCCCACTTCGTGAATCTCGCGAATAGACTAGATATTATAAACTTGGCACCTCAGAATTGACACATGAAGACCTCGGTGCAAGAACCGGGCAACTCCAGGAGTTACCCGATTTTAGCACCGAAATGTACGCGTTCAGTGGGATATGTCGGAGTGGGGTTATTAGCGGCAAGCCTTCCCGCGTCTTCCATCGTGTGTGACCTGATTAGTTTGATCATTTGTTTCATGCAATACAAGATGTAACAGAACCATTTTTCCTGTCCATCACGACGAAATCATCAAATTTGTAGGTATACGGCCTGAATGTATGGACGATATTTGTGTTCGTCCCATCACTTTTCGTTAACCCTCGTATTTTGGAGTCCCCGCGTTTAGGAGTTTTTATATACACGGTGTTTTTGTGGTCGAGGCGCTAAACGCCAGCATGCCCAAGGCTGTTGTTTATTCATTCCTAGCACCTAGTGAACTTTCAACTTTGTGCCGATTGGATTTATAATGATTGTGTGGAAGGAATTTTGCCTGGTGGTATACCACACCGCGTACAAATGAATGAATTACGGGTTGCCTAAGTGGTTCGAGAATACCCTATATGGTAGAGACAATTATAGGTATCTTGCGCACCTCGCTATATCACAAAAAGTGTGGCAAAAAGTAGTTTTCATGTTCTCGAATTTTCGAAACGCCGGTATGATTCGCTATCAGTGAACCTCCATCATCGTGTGGTCCATTAACTATTTATTTCGGATTCATATAGTGAGTGCTTTTGGTCAAAAAGTGCAAATACCAGGTTTCCTGATATTTGGAGATTGTGCCTGTATTCATTATAGGTGAGTTTTGTGATTTTTGTACAGCCTCATTAACTAGTATAAGGATTTGCACGTGATTTCGGCTAAGTCGTAGTCCTAACATAGGTATTATTCATTATAGATTCCAGATAAGTTTCCCTACGGTCAACCCTGTATATTCCACCAACGCATCACCTGTAATAAAATACTCTTGAACAGGAACCCCGTAGCAGGACTTTCATTTCAACCCCTGAGATCAACCCCGTTTCGTAACAAATTTAATGTCATGGGAAAGTGAAAGTGAGCCCTTTCAAGATTCGGGGAGTGAATATGTTCCAAAAAGATAACTGTTGACAGAGAGGACCCAAATTCTGGCAATGTTAACGAGGATCAAGACGCAGGAAACGACAGGACTCTGCACCACAATGGCTCATCAGGCGAATCCTTTCCCGTGTTCACTTGATAGGAAATTGTTGGATTCGCTTGATTCTTGCACCAAAAGATGCACTAACAAAAAATTTATATGTTAAATACAATAACCCAATTTCGGCATAAAATGGAGTTGCTCGGTTCTTGCACCGAGGTCTTCAATTACTCTTTAAAAGTTAACTAGTGGGGGGTGGTTGGTATACAATCCGTTAAACGAAGAAAAAAATTAGTACTGACCGTCCCACCATCCGCTCCGAACCAGTTGTTGCTCAAATCGAGCTTCTCCAAGGTGTCGTTGATCCTGATCATCTGTCCGATTTTGACGGGCGTATCGCCCTCCAGATCGCAGCCAGCCATGGACAGCTCCAAGGGAATGGAGCACCGCACTATGCCCCGCATGATACCCATCGCGCCGTCTTTGCCCAGTGGATTGAGCTTCAAAACGAGCGTGTGGATTTGGGCGCAACTCGGAAGGAGAAGAGTGAAACCTTGAAATTTTATGAATTGACCATATCTTATTTAGACTAGGGTCCCTTGATGGAAATTGGCGTTGAAGTCATCTTAACAGGGTACGGACAGATCCTCGTCTCCTCTCACTCTAAATGCCCTCCGCACACGGGTCGATCGGCGACATCGGCGACGCGATTGCAATGACGTCACAATTTCTGCATTCGTACGATTCAAGAGACGGGAGTGTGTGTCATCCGCATATGGGTCGACGTTTTGTGTAGTCGACTCGCGTCTGACCAACTTAATTACTCTATTTTTTGCAACTTCAAAAAGAAATGTTTCGCTAAAAATGAGCAGTTCCAATGGCGAGGAGGACATATTCATGTTTTTGTGGTACCGGCAGATCAGGAGAAGAAGAAGACAACGAAGTTTATGGGTGCATCCGTACATTGCACGAAATTTTCACACTCGACTTTTTGTTACTGCAAGTGAAATGCAAGAGAGTGACACAAAATTTCTGGCATTTTATAGAATGTCGAAGGAATCATATATTGATTTAGTGGAAAGTCTTGCTCCAGCCATAAATTATATGTATTCAAATATGAGGGAATGTGTCAGCGCAGAAGAACACATACTAATAACATTGATGTAAGATTCATATATTTCAAAAACTCAAACAGTTCCTAAAGTTGAGAGTATAAATTGGAAACATAAGATTATATGTTCTAGTTACTGAAAGTAAAGAACTAAGGTAAGTAACACAAATATTCACAATGATTGAAAAATTATTGAACAACTTTCTCCATTGAGACGCAAGATTCACTCGATCAAACTGCTTCCTTGCTAATCGCGTGAGACTGAAAACGAGGAGATCTTGAATCGTACGTTTCTAGACGACCACTAAACGACCCGTGTGCGGGATCCAGATGCTTTGCTTAGGAAGTCGAGTAGAGGGGAGACCGTCGTACGATTCGAATCGCGTCGCCCATGTCGCCGATCGACCCGTGTGCGGAGGGCCTAAAGTGTTTGTGAAACAGTTATATAGTTCCATCTTTATTCATTTCTGGGGATAAACACTAGATTTCCGACATTTGTTGTTTTTTAGGTTATATTGAGGTCATTGGCGTACCATACGTAATTTCCACATGTCATTTCTCATTCAACTCTACATATTATATCCAAATGATATTGATGATGCTTGCCTAAAAACAGTCCTATTTGGTAACACGTATTGAACTTTCAGAAAAATTTGCTCACTGCCTCACAAAGATTATGCTGGAGTTGAAAAATCAAAAAATCGAAAATTATCATCATTTGGATATAATAATTATGTAGAGTTGAATGAGAAATTACATGTGGATATTACGTATGATACACCAATGTCCTCAATATAACCTAAAAATCAACAAATGTCAGAAATCTAGTTTTTATCCCCAGAAATGAATGAAGATGGAACTATATAACTGTTTCATAAACACTTTGGAGTGAGAGGAGACGAGGATCTGTCCGTACCCTTTTAAGATGACAAATACGTCAATAGAGCATTTCTTGCACATTTCAGTTTCAAAGAGGGTTGGGTTAGGTAAGATTTCATTCCATTCGCTTGGTTGGTGCTGCCACCCTCACTAGTTTCGTGACATCATTGAAATGCCGCAGAAAAATCGGCAACCTTTCACTGTTTTTTTCATGATTCAGTCTAGAAGTTTTCACTTACCCAGACCTTCGGCCCCGATTTTGCCAATACGATTATTAGCCAAATTGAGTATTTTTAAAGATGGATGGCCTGCCAAGAATTTCGCAACACACAAGGCACCCTGATCGCCTATTTCGCAATTGGACAGATCTAGTTCCAGCAGCGATTTGTTTTTAATCAGGTTCTGCATCAGCGCTTGACAGTGCTCGTTTCCCAGTCTGCTGCGATGGATTCTAAGAATTTCTAGGTTTTTCAGTTCCAGCAAGGCTTTTCCTAAACGCTGGCAATCCAGCACCGTTACCTTGAACATGTTCCAGTCGAATTTCTCTGAGACATCATTCATACCTGAAATTTACCACAAAATATCTGCGTTTAGCAGTGTCCCTCAGGGATCAGTGCTAGACCCATTTTATTTATCTCGATCACGCCAGTGACCTTGAACCTTGTAAATATTATGAAAAGGCAAGAATATTATCATAAGAAGATCTGGATAGATGTCTGGAGATTGAAGTTCAGTAAATTAGGTTTCCACTCACCGAAAACCAAGTCAAACTCAGTCACAGTACACAATTTTCTCAGTATGTAAAGAAAATTGATATGATCCACAGGAAAGATTTCGGGGTAGTCCTCTTTGTCCATGTTTAACGGTGGTTGCCAAAGCTGCAGTTGGGTAACTATCAACCTGTGGTTCACAAAAAGACAAACTGTGACCACAAGAAGACAATATATGGGCAGTCCCATTGGTTGAAATAGATGGAAGTTGCCGAATTCGATGAACTTATACCTATATATATATAATCATTGATAATATACTTATTCATGTTCTACATAATAGAACTTATACATTTTCATTCCGACGTTTCGACTCCGATTGATCATCTTCATCTTTGTGTACAATTCTGAACGATATTTTCAAGGAACTGATGGGGAACGAACCTACTCACATAGGGGGAACACAAGTCCAATATGTCCCCCATGTTCTCCTCGTCCGAGTACTGGGGTTGGGCCTCCTCTACCAATTTCTGCAGGTGGCGCTCCAAGTAGAGGTTCTTCCAGGTCCACGATTTTGGTTTTCTTCGTGTGATTGTTTTGAAATGAGCTTCGTATCGCCTCTTCCAATAGTACTCATCCTTCAAAAAATTACACTCAATTTCCACACTCATGAGTATTTCAGCCATTGCAAAAAAGGTTTTTGTTACGGTTCTTTGATTTTTCTGATTCCTTTACACTTTTTATGTATAGAGTTGCTGAATGATCATGGTGAAGCATATGTAGGACAGACTAGTCTATTCAGTAGTACTAGGTTCAAGGAACATTTAGCATATTCAAATTAATATCAAAAGTAAAAAATGTTGAAATCGTGAAAATCGCTTCATAAATGGAAAATTCATGAGAGTGGCCCACTTTCAAAAGGGTCATTCTGTATGTTCAGGGTGATTTACGATGGATGCAGCATAAACGTTTTACGACTAATTATTATGATCATAAAATCAAATTCAAAGTTTTCTCTCATAAATATTTATGACCCAGCGAGCACAAAAACATCTCAGAGATGTTAAAAGTACGAGATTTCGAGACATTGAACCTCCACTGCGATGTTCTGTTCACACATGAATAGAACTATTATAGAACAGCCAATGTCCGCCGCAGGCGGCAATTATCGAGATGTCCTTGATATGTCTCAAAACTACCTTCTCCCTAGTTCTTTTTAAAGCCTTTTCATGGACACAACAAAACATTTTCAACGCATCTTGCGCACATTAAATCGCTGTAAAAAACCATTTTCGAGGTACTTTTCTGAAGCCTTATGTCAAAATGAACTTTTGCATCAGGATTCCATTTCCCTTGAATGAAAAAATGCATTAAAAATAGATTGAACATAAAAATATTTTCTTGATATGAAATTACCTTCTTAATCGGTTTCTGAGTAGTGCTTACTACACACAGACATATAATTGGAAATAGGTTTCCAAATTTTTGAAATGTTCTCCACAAAGCATAATTTTGCAACTGCGGAGATGCTGTGTATTGATAAATTCGTACTTTTATATATTGATTACACTGAGGCACCGAACAACACATCTTGCATCTGATGGTCATTATTACAAACTAAATAAGTCTTCTAACACAATAAACTTCACCAAATTCCTTTCTGTTCTTTAGCAGCGTGATGTAAGCGTGACACGCTGCAAACGCGAATGCCAATTGCGAACAAGAAGAACAAAATCGAAAACAAATCAGAATTCATCGTATTGTGACGTAAGCATGAGACGTTGTAGTGGGGCAATCAAAGAGAGGGCACAAAAGAACAAAAACAATACTTTCAATATCCTTCTAAGACCTCTTTGGGAAGTGCATATTACGCCTCAAAAAAACATCCTCATGCCTACATTTCTAAAACATCCCAAAACATCCCAGGGATGCCTCTCAGTAGGCAAACAAAGAAGTGCCACAGAAGAACGAAAACAATACTTCAATATCCCTCAAAGACCTCTTTGGTCAGTGCATATTACGTCTCAAAATAACATCTTCATGCCAACATTTTCGAAACATCCCAAAACATCCCAGGGATGTTTGTGCTCGCTAGGGAACTTCCCGATTTACATAGAGGTTATTTTCTTTTTTTGTCATTTTATAGTTACATGGATGAAGGGAATGGCCTGTTCCAATGGTAAATCCGTAGGGATGATTTCCAAAAGTTGGTCTTTGTCTTCACAGGGTAGCTCGTCGAAAATGGGTTTTTTCTCGAAATTTTTCGCGATAGCTTTCAAACAGAAATGGATGAGCGTGGGGCAATGGTCCTTGTTCCAGTCGAAGTTCTCGGAAATTATCTTCCGTTGATCTTCCCCTACGAGGTCCAAGCTTTCAGGGGATGGACTGTATTCAACCAGAGTGCTGGGGTTGATGGAATGTGGAATCCTCATGATGGAAATGGTGGGTTTTTTGAGAGCTAGTTAACTATGAAATTTTCTATTTCACTTTATTAATACAGGACAATCATCTCCAAAATTTGTTTGAGACTTATTGACCAAATGATGATTTGAACATACTGACATTTAGATGGTTGACATTCAAAGTGAATTTTGTTTCACTGTAATAAACACCTGTTATAGTCCAAGAACCGGCTGCAAGTTTCGACCGCTATCTGATAACGAAATGATATACAGTGTGACCCACTTCTAATGGAAACACTCCTGTATCTTACGTAATCGTTGGGTAAGGATCCTGAAATTTGCTGGAGCAAGAGATATTAACCAAAAATGCACTCTATGATCAAGTGGGGTCATCTTCAGTGATATCAGTGGGTAACTTATCTCTGGTGATATACAACTGCTCGCCAATAACAGTCATGGAATCACTCCAAATTCCGGAAAATGATATTAGGAGTCAAAATAGGTCGAAGATCACTTCAAATTCGGAAACAGGACGCCCAGTTTACTAACTATTTATATTTTTCCTGGAAAATTTTCAGTTCTGAAAAATTTAGATTTGCTTCCACGGCCTATACTCGGTGAATTTCAATAATAATTTTTTTCTGATCTAGTTTCTATACCAACTTGTGATATGTCATTAGAAAGGGAATTGAATGCTGAATAAAGCGAAAAGAAAAAAAGTAGGGTCTTCATTTAAAATAAGAAAGTTGATGTTACTTCCGGTCAGACCGGAAGTTAACTTCGACATGTCAATATGCTCAAATTCTAGCTCTTATGTCATTATATCGACGATCCAAATTTCACAAACCTACTTCATACAATAACTGAGATATTCCCTAGGCAATATACCTCCGTAGCCACCCGGTATACGCATGCGACGATTTTGCCGGCCAGAGTGGGTGCATCAGTCATACATCACCTTCACCAGTCAAGAGGTTAAAATGATGAGATCTATCGTTTATTTCAGTTTGTACCTTGAAACCTGAATCACCATGTATAATACGATATAATATGACAAAGATAAATCCACAGTACTTTGAAATTAAATTATAAAAATAATAAATATAAAATATATAAATTCCACTAATTAACTAATTATTCATCTCTATTTTCGTATTTCCATGAACTCCATGAATCATCAAATGCTTTTTCAGACTACTGGAATCACAGAACCCCGAAAAACAAATATGACATTTGTAAGGTCTTTCGCCTGTATGGATTCTCGTGTGGGCCTTCAAATTGCCATTCTGCGCGAATTCTTTCCCGCAAAATGTACATTTGTAGGGCTTCTCCCCGCTGTGTATCTTGAAATGGCTCTTCAGGTGCCCCAATTGCACAAAAGTTCTCCCGCACACCTAAAAAACATAATTAATAGCAAGGTGTCAGAAGGCCAAGAAGCATTAAAAATAGAAGAAGAGAAGCAGAGTTTACTAACCTCACATTTGAAGGACCTCTGACCTTTATGGATCAACAGGTGAATCCTGAGAGACCCAGCCTGCCTGAATCTTTTCCCACAATCAGAACACTCGAATGGCTTTTCTCCTGTGTGTATTCTAACGTGCACCTCCAGGTGGCTCTTACGAATGAACCCCTTGCCGCAAATGTTGCACAAAAATGATTTTTCGCCCAAGTGTATCTGCTTGTGAATGATGAGACTGTGTTTGTAGGAGAATGTTTTGTCACAATCTTCACACTGAAGCTCTGCAGGGTCTTTGGGCGGCTTCCTGGGGTATTTTTTGGGGACCTTTTCGCATTTGGGAATCTCGCCGTTTGCTATTTTGTGCCGCACCTCATGAGCTCTTCTGGTGGAGTATTTTTTGAAAGCCATGCCACAATAGCTGCAGATATGTGGCCTTTCCCCTGTATGGACTCTCATATGTTCTGTTTGTCTTATCAATGTTCCAAATTCTGCAAAACAAAAATAAATTGAACACCATATTATTTATTTTGGGTATGATCTACTTACCTTTTCCACAAATATCACACTTAAAGGGTTTCAAGCCTTTGTGAACCAAATTCACATGGCGTTTCAAGTTTGAGGCATGATTGAATTTTTTTGAGCACAACTTACAATCATATGGTGTTTCTTTGGTATGGGTTCTCATATGATCATTCAATCTAGTCTTAGTAGAAAATACTTTATCACAGTTGTTACATTTGAATTCATTGATAGCTTTACAAACAGCATTTTGCTGCTGGTGAGCAATGAGATTTTGTTTGGTATCAAATTGTTCACCACAAAATTTGCATTTTAGGAAATATTGTCTGGATTTCTTTCTTTTTTTGGCTTTGGTATCTTCAACAGCAGAGGTGTCTGAGTATTCTTCTTTCAATATGTCATCATTAGTATCTAAATTCGAAGCAACAGATTCTTTTTCAAAGTCTGCATCTTCATCTTTGTATTTTCTTTCAAAAAGGATATGCCTAAGGTAGGTATCATTGTGTTTCACTATACCAATGAATGTAGAAACCTCATTCAATTTTCCAATGCATATAATGCAAATATTTTTTGGCAGTTCATCATTAGGTTCGATCTATAAAAGAATTATCAAGTGAATAGTGAATGCATTAGTTTCTTGTTTTTGGCAGTTCATACCTGGATATCTGTTAGTTTCGTTAGAACACTCAATAAGGGAGTTTCCTTCAAAGGTTCCAATTGTTCATTATTCAGGCAGGTCCTACAGATTGAAGAAAACTCTGGCAATAACTTGCTTCGATTCATTTCATACATAATTAGTCGAAATCAAACTATTTCATATTTGTAAGAGCCAAAACAAGAGTAAAAAAAAAATGCCACACTCAACCTCAATCTCAATCCTTTGTGACTTCTTCTTAATTCCTAATATTTTTATTCTTTTTATAATGAGACTTAGGCTAAAACGGCACACTGTCATTAAAGGCCATAGTCCAGTTGTCGTTTGTTTGCTTGTCAAATTTCCACTTGTCGGTGCTCTTCTCAGGCAACGTTCAGCGGAAGATTAGACCATGGTAAATTTGTATCAATTCGTTCAGACCGTGGTCCTCCACGTGGTCACATTTGAAATGAGCTAAATCATATGGCTAAATCCAGTTCAGTCTCGTCTTTTTCCGACAGTCAGAATGAGATGCAAATGCGTATATTTGATTTCAAGTTTCAACGATGTTTTGAATCGTTTGAACGAACGTTTTACAGGTGAGATTTGATTTTTAGCGCCAAAGAGAGTTAACGATTAAGCTAACATATCCCTGGCGAGAATTGCATATCTACGAAGGCGTAGAGAGGCCACCAACTTATTTTTATTCCAATTCCGAGTTGCGGAATTCTGAGTTGCAAGTCGAAATTCCGAGTTACAAGTCGGAATTCCGAGTTACAACTCGGAATTCTGTGTTGTAAGTCGGAATTCCGTGCTACAAGTTGAAATTCCCAGTTACAAGTCGGAATTCCGAGTTACAACTCGGAATTCCGTGCTACAAGTCGAAATTCCGAGTTACAAGTCGAAATTCCGAGTTACAACTCGGAATTCCGAGTTACAAGTCGGAATTCCGAGTCACAACTCGGAATTCTGAGTTACAAGTCGGAATTCCGAGTTGCAACTCGGAATTCTGAGTTGTAAGTCGGAATTCCGAGTTACAACTCGGAATTGGAATAAAAATAAGTTGGTGGCCTCTCTACGCCTTCGTACATATCCCCCTGGTTTATTGCGGAAGAGAGATCGAAGGACATATAACGACTAAACAAAGTTTTCTGCAATCGGCTCAAAAGACGTCCATTTTTGATCCAAAATTAGTTCTTGAAGTTGAAGATTCTCGTTTCTCTAACTGACATAATAAAATGATTAGTATATTAGTATATATATATATATATGTTACTAGGCAACACTCTTTAGTGTCAAGGAGCTGAAGTTGAAGTTTAACTCCTATAGGAACTAGAAACGTGTCGGATGACAGCTGCTTTTACACTGACATGCTCAAGTGCCTCAAAATTGTGGTATTTTCACTTATAATATCACGAGAGCTTGAATTATCTCCGGAAATTTATTAGAGAACACGCATATTTTGAAATTTTTTTAAATATTCGTGTTCGAGAAAAACTTCCCGGATATTAATTGAAGCTAAAGTAGTATTCGGTGAGAAAATTTCACACTGAAATATTATGTTGCAAGTATATACACCTACATATAATATATGGTAAGCTGTTTATGAATGATTTTTATTTATTGACTTATAGAATGAACTCGAAATGATCCGAAGTTGAATGTAAATGTCATTTAACCTGTAAACGTCACAAAATTTCCAGTTCAATTTCATATGCTCCGTTACCCAAGTAGGAGGGAGGGAAAAATTTCCAAGAAATTCGTTTACTTGCTATGGTAATGATACGAAATACAGGCTTCAAATTGATCGAGAATGTTTGGTGTGAAATTTTCACTTATATTTTATTAATTCGATATCAATTATTCCGATTACAGGAAAAATAACATGTTCCATTCAATTCATTCCCCAAGAAGTCGAGTGCTATATAGGATTTCAATGATTCACTGAATATATGAACTATCATTTCAAAAACACCTCGTATAGATAAGAAAACGAAAGGAAATATTCTTAAATTTCTTTTCACTCCACCCCGTATACCTACTATCGATATCGGAATTAGTCATTGTTGTTCGGGAATTAATCGGTTGAAAGGATGACGTAACTGATTAGTCATTTGATTCACGAATTCGATCCAGTATTAAGCCAGTCTAGTTCCGTTCTAGACTTCGTCACGTACAGTCGTTTCAAGTGATAATAAAAAGAGTATTTTAGAGTGGAATATTGCAATTCATATTCGGCTTAGTGATTGTATTTCCATTTGAGTGTGTGAAAGATTTATTTTTCCAAAATGGTGAGTGTTTTAGTATAGTATATATGGAGGCATTCATCACGTGGTTGATATATTTTGCTTCGGTATATATCCATATAACGATGAACAAATTTTTAAATTCGCTTTCTTTACCTATTTATACAGAGGATCTAGATGGATATTAATGCAACAAGTTGCGAAAATATTCGGCATTTTATTATGAAGTTAACACAAATATTTTAGGATTTCATATTCATTTAGGATGGAATAATACGCTTTGTTAACTCATACAGAGGTACTAAAAATTGGAATTAAAATTAGTTGCACAACATTCGCCATTTTGTAGAGACTTATTTATACAGTGTGACCCATTTTTAATGCACCCCTGTACTTTACGTAATCGTTGGGTAAGGATCCTGAAATTTGCTGGATAGAGAGAGATATATACCAAAAATGCACTCTATCACCAAGTGGGGTCATCTTCAGTGTTATACACTGCTCGCCAACAGCCTTGGAACCACCCCAAATTCAATTTATTTCGAACGTTCCTTCAAAATTTATATTTCTCATAGAAGATATATAATATATGAAAAGGTATTTTCTGATAGTCATCTTCATATTCGAGATTTAATTACAACTATGTTGCAGATCGAAGAAGAACCGTGTGATAAATAAACCATTTGAGTGCAACAGAAAACTTGCATAGTAATGAAAACCAGACGAGGAGCCATCAGACACCAGTAAAGTTTACCATTTCTGTTTCGTATTATATTCAGTATTTCGAATATTTCTTCAAAATTCACTTATGTTATGGATATATGACGATATAACATAGAACATTTTCAGAAAACATAGTCATCTTTACATAATATGCCTCAATGGATAGCAGACGATAGGAAATTGTTAGCTATCTGTTCCGTTCATTTTTTGGAATTTGAATAACTTTTCATATATATTTCACTTCCTTATTCCATGTAACTTTCATAATTTCAATTCTCAATATATTCAAAATTCAAAATATAATACCAACTATGTTTTAGGTCGGAGAAGCGACGTGTTATTGATCGACCGAAAATTTGTACAGAAGGGGAAACCAGACCAGAAACGAGCGACCAGTGATAAGTTTTTTATTCCTATTCATTACGAATTATATACAATTCATTTCGAATATTTCTTCCAAATTTTATATTTGTTATGGAAGGCGATATATCTATCATAGAACATTTTTTGATAGTCACCTTTATGTCTCAATGGAGACACGACAGGTACCCTTACGAGGGGAGAGTATCAACCCTTGGCATCGGTAAACCCTCGTTGCAACCGGGGTAGGCGCCTGATGGGTTAGGTATATACAGTGTTTCTCATTTAGGAGAAAATTGTAGGCTATCTGTTCAGCTCATTTTTTGAGTAATAGGAGAATATGTCGCGTTTCAGCAACGGAATTTGAAAAAATTTTTAAAAATATATTTCAGTTTCTCATTCCATGTAACTTTCATAATTTCAATTCACAATATATTTGAAATTCGAGAAATAATACCAACTATGTTTTAGATCGAAGAAGCGATGTGTTATTGATCGACCGAAAATTTGTTCAGAAGAGGAAACCTGAAACGAGCGAACAGTGATAAGTTTTTCATTCCTATTTATTAAGAATTATATACAATTAATTTCGAATATTTCTTCCAAATTTTATATTTGTTATGGAAGGCGATATATCTATCATAGAACATTTTTTGATAGTCACCTTTATGTCTCAATGGAGACACGACAGGTACCCTTACGAGGGGAGAGTATCAACCCTTGGCATCGGTAAACCCTCGTTGCAACCGGGGTAGGCGCCTGATGGGTTAGGTATATACAGTGTTTCTCATTTAGGAGAAAATTGTTGGCTATCTGTTCAGCTCATTTTTGAGCAATAGGAGAATATGTCGCGTTTCAGCAACGGAATTTGAAAAAATTGTTATATATATTTCAGTTTCTCATTCCATGTAACTAACTTTCTATCAATTCACAATATAATTAAAATTCGAGAAATAATACCAACTATGTTTTAGATCGAAGAAGCGATGTGTTTATTGATCGACCGAAAATTTGTACAGAAGGGGAAACCAGACCAGAAACGAGCGACCAGTGATAAGTTTTTTATTCCTATTCATTACGAATTATATACAATTCATTTCGAATATTTCTTCCAAATTTTATATTTGTTATGAAAGGCGATATATCTATCATAGAACATTTTTTGATAGTCATCTTTATGTCTCAATGGAGACACGACAGGTACCCTTACGAGGGGAGAGTATCAACCCTTGGCATCGGTAAACCCTCGTTGCAACCGGGGTAGGCGCCTGATGGGTTAGGTATATACAGTGTTTCTCATTTAGGAGAAAATTGTTGGCTATCTGTTCAGCTCATTTTTTGAGTAATAGGAGGATATGTCGCGTTTCAGCAACGGAATTTGAGAACACTTTTCATATATATTTCAATTCATTCTTATTCCATGTAACTTTCATGATTTCGATTCGCAATGTGTTTCAAATTCGAGATATTATAATACCAACTATGTTTTAGATCGAAGAAGCGACATGTGTTATTAACCGACGGACAAATTTTACAGAAAAGAAAAAAGATCAGAAACCAGGGACCGGTGATAAGTTTTTCATTCCTATTTACGGCTTATATTTGATTCATTTCGAATATTTCTATCAAATTTTATATTTGTTGTGGAAGGCGATATATATCATAGAATATTTTTCGATAGTCACCTTTATATATCAATGAAGTCACGACCAGGTACCCATATACGAGGGGAGAGAATCAACCCTTCGCATCGGTAAACCTTCTTTGCTACTCTATGCCATTCCAGCAGTTTTTCATCTACACCCTTAAAAATATTTTTTTATGTGGAGTGTTGAATATATTTTTTTTTGCGATAGGGGTTGCGGGGATTTTTTCGATAAGCAAATCGTTACTTAGGTCTGTTTTAATGATTTCTACCCTATGCTATCCCAGCAGTTCTTTTTCATTCACACCCTTGAAATGTTCTTGTATGTGGAGGGTTGAATATAGAATTTTTTTTATAGGGGTTGCGGGGAATTTTTCGATAGGCAAATCGTTCCTTAGGTCTGTTTGAATGATTTCTACCCTATGCCATCCCAACAGTTTTTCATTTACACCCATAAAACATTTTTTCATGTGTTGAATTTATTGATAAAGGTATTTTTTTCTCTATGGGTCGCGGGAATAGTTTTTATGGTAAAATTAAGATGTTTACTCGCAGCAGTTCTTATTTTTTTGCGTTTGAAGAATTAAAAAAAAAGCATGCTGTCCGCCACTGGGTCTTCGGCAATGTTCGGAGATTTTGGCTGCTATCTTTGGCTGCCATTTTCATTCCCACAGCTCCAGCAGTTCTGTACTGCTTTCTAGGTTAGCTTTGTTTGTTTTGTTTCAAGAATACAACAACTGATAAAACTCCTATTCGTTGTACTTTTTAGCTAAAATAAAGAAAAGGAACTTTCAAATCATTTAGAATATGCCGGGATGGTATTACGACAAAAAAGAGCTCAGACATTCCCCGTCTGCACAAGATGGAATCGACTACAAAACAGAAATGCGATATCGCAAGGAAGGTATGTCGATAAAATTATGATCTGCCCTGTTAATTTCACTTTTCACGAATCCTCCTTTCAGGTGCAAGACTGATCATTAACACCGGCTCCAAGATGGACCTGGGCTACAACACCATGGCCACTGGGGTCGTGTACTATCACAGATTCTATATGTTTCACTCCTTCAAACAGTTCCCAAGATATGTAACAGCATGCTGTTGTCTCTTCCTTGCCGGGAAAGTAGAAGAGACTCCTAAAAAATGTAAAGATATAATCAAAACAGCCAAGAGCCTACTGACTGATCAGAAATTCACCACTTTTGGGGAAGACCCAAAAGAAGAGGTGATGACTTTGGAACGCATTCTCTTGCAAACAATCAAATTTGACCTGCAAGTGGAGCACCCATACCAGTACTTGTTGAAATATGCCAAGTGTCTCAAAGGGGACAAGCAAAAGTTGCAGAAGATGGTGCAGATGGCATGGACCTTTGTCAATGATAGCCTCTGTACCACCCTGGCTTTACAGTGGGAGCCTGAGATAATTGCTGTAGCTCTCATGTATCTGGCTGGTAAACTTAGTAAGTTCGAGGTGGTAGATTGGATGGGCAGGAACACCAAACATTGCAGGTGGTGGGATATGTTTGTAGAAGATGTGACCATGGATCTGTTGGAAGATATTTGCCATCAGGTAGGCAATTACTCTTTTTGCATACATGGACTTCTACAATGAAAGTTCAACTAAACAAAAAATAAATGAATGTCTATTCCTTAGTAGTGCAGAGGTTTGGAATCTTGAAGTGGATATAGTGTGACTCAGGTTTAGCTATTTTAAAAGTGTATTTTTATAGTTCCTGTGAGTATTTTACATTATAGAGAATTTCTAAGCCCCTCACTATAACTTGAGCTATAACCAGGGTTGGAATGAGTCATGACTTTTATAAAAAAGTCATCAAAGTCCGACTTTTTGAATTAAGTCAGACTTTTTTGAATTAATTCATTTGAAAAAAAAAATTCCATTTACCCAAAGCAAAATAGAAAAAAAGAAATAAAAAAACTATGTTTTTATTCCCTTCAGAAATCTTGTAGAATAACATCATAATGGAATAAGATCATAATATAACATGTCATTCTTTCAAAACAAAATTAAAAGTGATGATACACAATTAATACAAAATAATAGATACATATAGATCCAGTATCATCCATAAAGTTCATAACACATGGAGAAAAAGTTTATTAGTAGAATAATATCCAAACATTTTTTCTCAGGGATCTATTATGAATGTCTGACTACTTAAAAGTCGATTTTGACACATGTCACTTGATCACTAGTATGGCGGTAAATTCAAAAAATTACGATGGCAAAAAGTGGGGTTAGATGGGAAGATGAAGTTATTTAAAAATAATAAAAATAGCTATTTTCAGTTTTCTCAAATAATGGCTGGAAACTCCATATGTGAGCATGAAATTGAATTCCATTCAACTTGTACATCATCAACATCACTACTGTCAGAAAAAAAAAGAGAATTGTAATAAAATTGAAGAATATTCCAAAAAATATAGCTATTTCCAATTCTCCTCCAAAAATTGCTCAAAACTGAATGTGAAATAGCAACTTAATAAGAAATGTTTATGGATATTTTGTTATCTAACCCCACTTTTCGTCGCTTTATAGTATATTAGTTTTATTTATCACCATACCAGTGATCACCTGACATGTGTCAAAATCGATTTTGGATCGCCGAGAGAAAAAAATTCAAAGCTGTGATAATAAACCTGTTCTCATATGTTATGGACTGTATGGATGATACTTGATACTGTATATATCTGTTAGTAAAAATCTATGTCATGCTTGAAATAACAGTCTTGCTAAAATACGATCAAATTTTCCAGTTTAAACTAGTTAAAATCAAAGGTAATAGTGCAATTTGTCTCATTTTTTAAAATTTGATTGAATTCATGACTTTTTCGAAAAAAGTAAATGGAATTAATTCACCAATTAAATCACTGATTTAATTCATATGAATTGATTCATGCAAACCCTGGCGATAACTTATTGATTTAAGATACCAAACAGTTATATTCCAGTATTTCAAATAATGTTTAATTTAGAAAAACTGATTTTGTCAGTAAGAATATTCTATTTTTTTTTAGGTTTTAGATTTGTATTCTCAGTCAGATGCTCCAATCCATCCAGACAGCCCACCATTGCATTCTAATGCTAAGCAGCAGATGCCTTCTTTGAGACCATCCAATGGTCAGGAGAAAACTTTGTCTCCAGACAGGTATTGGAATATTGTTTTCTTTTTCTACCATAGTTAATAAATATTTACTTGCAATTCTGGATGTATTTAGCAATAATTTTATTATTGTTCTTCTCCTGTTGCTCAATAGAGGAAGTGTGATGGATATTCATAATTTCATATTGGAGTTGCAGAGCCTTGAGGATGGTAGATATTGCTGAAACATTGTTTTTTTATACACTTTATTCTTCCTTTCAAATAGGCAAGAACACAAATTTGTGGATTTTATTCAAATTTGCATACAACTGAAGTATAATAGTAGAATAACAAGACTTCAAATGAAAACTGTTTGAATACCCCACAATTTCATGGAATATTGACACAGCATTTGATGACAAACTCCTCTATCCAGTACTGATGTCATAGTAGGAATTTCTTAATGTGTTGCCAGCTGTTTTATTTCAAGGAAAAATCAAGTAATCATTCCTCAATTTTTAAATCAATTCATTTGTGAACTGTCAAGACTATTTGATGTTCATTGAAGTAGTTAATATCATTAATATAGATTTTACCATTCAATTACTACACTGTGTCTTTAGGGAGCAAAATTAATCTTTTCAACACTTCTCATGCTTTTTTTTTATGTAAATAATGAGTCTATGCATTGTTCAAAATTGTTGAATTTCAGAGCTCATTTCAAATGTATCATCATGGCCGCCATTTGGCGATACGTCGAAGAATAATAATAATATTGGATCCGCCATTTTGAATTTACTAATTTCGACGAAGAAATCACAATCTCAGGCTCCAAAAACCCACAGATACCAATTGTGAATATTGTATATTATATTGAATATTGAAATATTGAATGCACCATCTTGAATTTCCAAATTTTGACAAAAGAATTATAATCTCTGACCCCGAAAACCCCGGGATACCAATTTTGAATAAAATCGGATTGCAAAACTCGTCCGCCATATTGGATCCGCCATCTTGAATTTTCATTTTAAAAAATAGCTTAGGACCGATTTTCGTACAAAAGCCGTTTCGGAGGAGTTTGGCCCCTTACACCGGGACAGGAGAATTGTTTACCGGGTGTCAACGAATCTATTAGACAAGTCATAACTTCTAGACCTTGAGGTATATCAAAATGAGATTTGGTATAGGTAAATGGTATGTCGAGAGGAGAGTTTTTACATATTTTTCACTTTCCGGTCACTTCCGGTTTCACCGGAAATGACTCCGGTTCTAAATTTTTAAATGGAACACCCTGTATATTCTAACATTTTTGGATTTCTGAGACAATTTATTATGAATTGTTGGAATATTTTATGGAAAATGCAATTTCTATCAAAAGCACTAATGATAACTACCCTAAAGAATTTAACAAACTTCTTCTGACAGTAGTGACAACTATTCAAAGCTGAACAGCAGCCAAGTTTTGATCGATTTTTGTTGATTCTCTATGGAAATGTATGTGGTGTTGGCAAAGTGCCATGGGAAAAAATATTTCTCACAGTATGTGCAATAAATGGTTTTGAAACTAAGTAAGCTATGAGAAATGCGCTACTTTTCATAGCAGTAGTAGAAAAAGTACTTTTCTCACTCTTGTGCTTGCATTACTCGCCCTTCAGGCTCGTGCCACAAACTTTCACACTCGTGAGAAAAGTTGAACGTTCCCCCATTCTCTTTCAGGCCCCCCTCCGTCAATGCCAAGGGCCCCCCGCTCTCAGACGTGCCCCAGTTCCCCTACCAGACGTTCACCGGAGCGCCGCCTCCAGCGGCGGCGTATGCCTCCGTGTTCCCGTCGTCGATGGCGGGGCCGCCGGGGGGGCCGCCGCCTCACCTGAGCGGGCCGCCCCCGCATATAGGTGAGTGGAATTTACACTTATAATACCACGAGAGCTTCAATTATTTCCGGAAATATTTCGAGAACACGAATATTTTGAAAATTTCCAAGAGATTTGTTTAGTTGCTGTGGTAATGATACGAAATACAGGCTTCAAATTGATCGAAAATGTTCGGTGTTGTAACAGAATCCTACGAGCTGTAGAATCCTATAGGTACTTGACTATTTGGGTACTACAGTGCGTTCATAAAGTGTGGAAACGCTCCATTATCTTACGATATAATTATTTTCAGAGGTAAAGCTCGGACAGGTCGATTTTGTATTTCAGTCTTCCATCTTTTTTTACAAAAAAATAATTTTTTCCCCCACCACCTTACAAGATATGACGTCATCGATATTTTTTTCAAATTGAAAGGGTATATTTTTATATCAAAAATTGAAAGCCCATATTTTTCTGAGTTCAACCATACCACATACGTCATATCTTACACTTCAAGTTACAGTATACTGAGTATAAAAGAAACCAGTGTTCATATTTCTCAACATTCATTTAATTATTTATTTGCAATGAAAATATCATAAGAAGTAGTGAAAATAAACAAATAACAAATCTACAGGGTGATTCAGGATTCAGAATTCTGTTCACCCTGTATCTGTTAAACTTTTGTAAAAAAAAATATCAATAGTAACCAGAAAATCAATTTGCATTGATCAGCTATAAGTATGATGAAAATATTCCAGGTAAAAATTGAAAATCCATTCGAATGGTCTTTTTTGATATTTTTTCACTAAGCTGATCGAAGTGTGCCGTGAGAATTGGAGGTTTGTTCCTATTGTAAAATGCCTGATCTTTCTGAATCTGGAAAAAAAAATCGTGGAAAATGATCAGAAAATTTATTTTTTTGACATTCAAATGAAAAATGAATTTATCAAGTCCGGCTCTGGATTTTTTTTAGTGAGCCATTTCAGTTGATCTCCATAGATTAACGTCTCTGGCGAATTTCATCACATTTCCATAAGAGGTCTCTGAAATATCGGCCATCAAACTTATAAGGCAATTACTGATAATACCCCGTTTCTTCCTTAGAAATGCCAAAAAAATATTTTTATATATACAGTGTGTCCACCTTAAGGACTTACCACCCCTGTAAAATCGTTATTATCTGACCGATTTCAAAAAACTTTTTTTTGTTGGATAGGTATTTGAAATGTCCATCCAACAAGAAAGCGATTTTACTCATGAACTGTAATCATGGCCAACTGCGACCAACTTTATTGACCCATATTTGAGAAAGTACTATTAGGGATTTTTTTTCACAAAAAACAATGATGGAATCTGAATCACGATCACTTGAAAAACACCTCTACTGATTTTTATCATCATAAAACACAGGGTGTCCGAAAAAACGAATTATGTTTTTTTTTAATAGGTGATCAGAAAATGTAGTATTGTGGTATTTTTGAGAAGAATTGATGACACATTATTATTGAGGATCACTTTGAACATATCTGTATCGATTTTCATCGTTCAAAAATACGATGTGTATGAGAAAACAATTAAAAAGAAAAAGTAGGCAATATTTTTTCATCAACTCAAAAAATATATTAATTTGATTTTTCGAACACCCTGTGTTTAATGATGATGAAAATCGGTACAGGTATGTTCCAAGTGATCCTGATTCATCTTTTTATTTTGAGTAAAGAATTATCACGATGAAAAATATTGCTTACCTATCCTTTATATTTTTTTTCTCAGACACATTGTATATTCAAATGACGTAAATTGGTACAGGTATATTTGAAATAATCCTCAATGATAATTTGTGATTATTTCTCTCTAGAAAAACCACAGAACTACATTTGCTGATCACCTATTTGAAGAAAATGATGATCCGTTTTTTCGGACACCCTGTGTTTTATGATGATGAAAATCGGTACAGGTATATTTCAAGTGGTACTGATTCAGAATCCATCATCAAGTTTCGTGGAAAAACATCCCTAATAGTACTTTCTGGAATATGGGTCATTGAAATTTGTCGCAGTTGGCCATGATAACAGTCCAAGAATTAGATCACTCTCTCGTTGGATGGGCATTTCAAATACTTATCCAACAAAAAAAGGTTTTTTGAAATTGGTCGGATAATAACGATTTTACAGGGGTGGTAAGTCCTTAAGGTGGACACACTGTATATACATCAAGTCGTCTTGGTTTCCCTGTACCTGTATACCCTGAATATGCTAAAAATTCGTTTCATAGTGAAAAGTACATGTTTTCATTGGCCAAAATTTATTTCATATAGCAGATATTTAATTCGCATCTATAATATGGGAGTAGAAAAAATACTACGTATTATTGATGAACTTTTTTTCTAGCTGCTCCCCCGCCTGCAGTATTTTCCTACGTCAATCACCCGCCTCCGTTCTCGACGGTGGTGCCTCCCGGAGCGCCCCCTTACTTTCCAGCGAACGCCCCGCCACCAGGACAGCCTCCCCAACACAGGCCCTACTACCCCCCACAGTAAGGGCTATCGAATTCAACAGGTCAGGTTTTCACTTATAATTACACCAGAGTTTTTTTTTGTAGTAAGTAAACTTGACATGTATCAAGTCCGTAGGAGTTTTTTGAGTTGAATTACCTAATGGCAACAAAATTCGAATGGGTTGCATGCAAGAACTTTCAGATGACCGACCCTGGAGGCACAACATTAAAACACAACCTCACTTTTCTTGTTTGTTTACAAGTGATTGAAATAGTTTTTGACAATTATTTTGGCATAGGAATCGTATTTTTCCGCTATTCATTAATTCGCTCATGCCATCACATTGTGCTGTTGTACAATGCACAAAAAATGCAGCGGAAGACGAAGGAATCCGGTTTGTACATTATGATTCAAAAGTAAGTACCTACTATAGTCACTCACGTATAGTTTGTTGATTTTATCCAGGTGCCAGTGGTAGAGGGCTAACAGTGGACACAGTAATTGAAATAGACTTTTAGAAACTGATTTTAATCTCCGTGAAATACGAGATTATATACAATATGAAAGTTTTGTTACATTATCATTTTCTTTGTTTTAGCAACACCATAACAACATAAAACAACCGACATTTTTTATAACTCATTCTTTCTTCAGGCCTTCTCTGCCTTATACAGAGTGATACGAGAAATGAGTAACCTTCAATATTGTAATAACAACATAGTTTTCATTTTTGAAATTTGGTCATTTCTCTGATTTGTCATCGGAATTCCTTCTGCAATAGGAGGTAGTAAAAATACACGTGAAATTTCTCAAATAATGCAAGAAGATTGGATACATGCAATCAAACGGGAGGACTGGTCTGACATGCTGACGAAATATGATCATGTGTGTTGTAGACATTTTCAATCTATTGGCAGTATTAGCTTCGTTTGCAGAAGGAGCAGAAGGAATTTTAACATGGAATGACAACATTTCATAATGAAAACTATGTGAGATTACTATTTACCTGAGAAATCATATTCCTTCGTCTCTCGCTGCATTTTTTGTGCATTGTACAACAGCACAATGCAAAGGCATACTTGAATAGCGCAAAAAACACGATCCGTATGCCAAAATATTGTGAAAAACTAGTTCAATCCTTTGATTCCTCTGCAAACGAATAAAAAAGTGAGGTTATGTTTCAATAATTCACAGAAGAGTGAGGTTGTGTTTCAATATTTTACCTCCAGGGTCGGTCATCGTGCACGCGACCTATTATAAATGCCAAGTCTACTTCGACTAAAAAAAGCTAGAGTGTAATTCGGTAAAACAATTTAATTCATCGAACATTTGTTAATGGTTGGTTGCCATGCTTTCAAAAGTTAGGTTCCGTTATTGTCGCTGGAAAAGTTATGGCAATCTTGTTTCGCTGTCATAATGACAAAATCCCGCGGCTTGTGGGATTTTTCATACATGAATTAAGTTGTCATCATTATTGAGTTGCCTGGGATTTTTCAAATGTTTTTTTCACTCATAATGGGCGAGTGGATTCATGATGAATTATTGGCATTCAATGATTCCACTTTCGTTAAGGCCCTAAATGAATTTTCACAACGCTTTTTTATGTAAATAATGAGTGTATGCCTTGTTTGCAATTGTTGAATTTCAGAGCTCATTCCAAACGTACAGGGTGATTCACCATAAATGTCCCCTTCTCTAGCTCACTTATTTTTCAACCAATTACATTTGAAATATCATCTTAGATGATTTTCGATGAAGTTTTTTTTCCGCTACATCGGAAAATACTGGGTGCTCGGAACAAACGATCTACAGGGTACTATTTGATTTTGTTGAATGAAACACCCTATTTTTCATTGTATTTTTTGTAGATTCTTCCTGAAGAGCTGATTTGATCAATGCATCACACTTGGGGTCTAGCGGGAATGATTACAGAGATATAGGGTGTTCAAAAAATCGAGATTTTCCAACTTGAGGTTTTTTTGGGACGAAACTATTCATTATCGGTCAAAACGGCTTCCATGTCCGTATCTTAACTCTTGATTTACTGTCTACTGACATTTATTAATTGGAACAGATACAGGGTGATCATGATTCTGAATCTTGAACCACCCTGTAATTATTTCAATTAAATGTCAGTAGATAGTAAATCAAATGTTGAGATAGGGACATAGAAACCGTTTTGACCGATAATGAATAGTTTCGTCACAGAAAAATTCTAAAGTTGAAAAATCTCGATTTTGAACACCCTATATCTCTGTAATCATTTTCGCTAGACCCCAAGTGTGAAAAATTGATGAAATCAGCTCTTCAAGGAGTATCTAAAAATACAATGAAAAATAGGGAGTTCCTTTCAAAAAAATCAAATAATACCCTGTAGATCATTTTTTGTTCCAAGCACCTTGTATTTTTTTATGTAGCGGAAAAAAACTGTATCGAAAATCATCTTAGATGATATTTAAAATTTTGCAATCGGTTCAAAAATAACTGAGCTAGAGGGGGAAAATTTATGGTGAATCACCCTGTACCGTCATGGGCGCCATGCGATACATCGAATAAACGGTAACGTCAGTTTTTATGCTGTTTCTTCATTGGTCAAATTGTCCTCCATTCTCACTAATGAATCAAGGTTGTCAAGTCACCAATTTTAATCCAGTTATTAAAAAGTTGTTAGAGCTCTGTCATTGAATAACACATTATAGGAGGAAGCCATGATATTATAGTTCATTTTCGACTTTTTCGAGCAACCAGCATGTCCATTTCTCATACTCCATAACGAAATATCATTTAAATGTTGGAGACTTGGCAACATGTGATGAATTTTGAGAACTGACAAGACAACGCCCACAATTCATGCGCGGTGTTGTCACGTTTACCGGTTCAAATATTCTCTAGTGTGAATTGATATAATTATTATTATTTACACATTAGGGAAAATTTTGAGACAATGGATTTTGTATTGTTAATTAGGAATATTATCGTTGCGTTAAATTTCTAGCCGTTGAAAATTGCCATGGCATTATTGATGACCTGAACATTCTAAAAAAATATGGAATTTAAAGGTATTTGAATGATTCTATTCAAGAATCCAAAACAAAATAGTCCACTTGCCCATTACAGATCTTCTTTATGTTGAATTAAACTTGAAATTTCAATAAGAATTTCATGTAAATTCAACAAAAAAATATCAAATTGTCAAGAAAAAAAATCCCAGGGCTTCGTTGGAGTACCTAGATGAAGTTGTGACCTTCTTTGCTTTCCTCATGCCATCTATGTATAGACTTGAGGAAGATTTTCAAAAGCAGATTTTGTAAATTAAAACAATTGAAAAATATACAACTTTTATTCAATTTTCAATACAATTACAGGACCTTAAAATTGCTACGAAAAATGGTATAATGTATAAATAAGGCACCAATTTTAAAATCACAATAAAAATAATAATGAGGATAATAAAATAATGTCAAATTGTAAACATGATATTTACACAGCCTTTATGATTTCATTTTGCCAGAAGGAAAAATGAGTAAATTTGAAATATAGTTCATGAAGAAGTCTGTAGATAGTAAATTATACAGAGATTAATAAAAACATGCCACAAGGGTTTTACCAAATATAAGATTAAATCAGATTATTGAAAATGAATGATTACTATCAGCTTGTAGGTGATGATATATTTGATTTAGTCTCATATTTATCTAATAGGCACTTCAATATGGATATTCAATTGATTTTAAAAAGGAAAATAAAACTAGAACAAAGTATTACATCAAACACTTAGGATAAAATTTCATCATAAAACTTAACATTCCGCGAAAAAACATTTAAAAAATACTTTTCAAATGTTTCCATTTCATTTGAGTCTCCTCAGATTCCACAGCAAAGATATATTTTGCTATAATTGAATTTCAACAATAAAATTACTCATTTAAAATGGATAACTTTCCAATATTTTTCAGTTCACTTAAATGAGTATTGTGAATCATCAAGACTACCTACCTAAATATAATAATAATATTGGCAACTGATTTTTGTCATTAAACTAATCTTTTTGTTACAATACTTCCTATATTAAAGCCATTGTTTACATAATTAAATTATTCAAATACTTTCAAGTACAAAATTGCCGATGCTGTGGTAAAACCATCATTTGAAATAGTAGTTGCTCTCAATTTTTTTTTTAGAAATACTGATTTCATATTGCTTATTATGAAAGATAAAAATAGTTTCAACGTCACAGAAATACTATTGGTAATATACTAACCACTCTGAATCCGATTGAAAGATCAAAAAGGCACTATTCAAAAGCTAGCCTGCAGCATTGCACACACGAAAACATAATAATATATATGATTATCGAGAAACATTTTTTCACAAAACAAGACTAGCCAAAACTCTAAATAAGCCTAGTTTGCTTGAGATAGTGAATCAGTAAGGAGTACACGAATCTGTATTGCGCTATTGTTTGAATCATGTAGGCACGTTGCTGTCGGAGAAGTCCTACTACTCTGGGGATGCACACCTCCTACAAAACATTGAAAAACATTTTTTCCACCTCGTATAGTTGAAGCTGTAGGTCAGAAGGGGTCAAAAATATAAGGAGACACCCTGTACAGCAAGAGATAGCTCAGAATGGTAAGCCAGTCCTGCCCACTCCCATAGAGCAGTTAAACATTTTATGGTACCTCAAAATGTTCAAACTTATGCCTTCCTTTTCAGTAAACTAGCTGTGTAAGAGAATTTTGAATTGACTCGGCCGTTACTTGATGGAAATCCATGGCAAATTAGTCCAATAAATGAAGGAGGAAAAAAAGGCAAAGTTAACGTTAATTACGCACTATTTTCATCTTCCGGTTGGAAGTAGCTTTTGGTACCTCATTAAACATGAGACAAAGTTTGACTGGAAAACGCGTGCGATGGCGGAGAAAATGGCCCCAAAAGACCAGGAAAATAGGTTTTCAGCCAATATCTCCTAAAATATGGCAGTTAGAGATTTTAGGTTCAGATAAAAGTTGAAGTTCAGTTAATTTTCTACAAAAATGGTCCTTATCATTTTTCTCGAAAATCTGCCCGGTTTCGAGAAAAACGGCACGAAGCGCACCTCGAATAATGAGCTTCTGTGTTGTATGCCGGAGAGCACAGTCCGTGTATTTACACATCGGCGGGGGGACAAATTATTCAATATCTTTGTTAAAAATGCATATTTTCTCATGATTCAAAGTTCATGTGAAAGAGGAATTCTGCTGCTATCATACCCTGCGTGGCCGCATGGTTTGTAGCAGACGACCCGAGCGCCACGTAGAGCACACACGCGGCGAACGACGGAGGAACGAAAGTAATAAATTATAGCGTGTACATTTAGATATACTGGTTTTTTCCCGGGATATCAAAGGTATGACTTATATACATCGATGGAAAGGTGGGAATTCCCCCGTTAAACTAGTTATGGTGTTAAAATGTTAGAAATAATTAGCACGGAGAAAAAAAAACACCGAAAAAAAAGTGCGTTTTTTTATTTGACCCCGCTTTTTCTAATTTTATTGAAAAATGGACGACTTCGTCTAACAAAGTAATTGCACAATCGAAAAGTAGACCTTCTTAGCTTTCAAATGATGTATCATAGAAACCAATCGGATCATGTATAAATTTTTAATTGATGGTTGTTCACAAAATTTCCCCGCGCTCCAAAAACAGCAAAAAATTGGGATTCAATTAACAAAGATTAAATGAAAATTAAAAAAAATTAGGGTATACAAATTTCAGGGATGACAAAGGACCTTATGAGGACCCATAATCAAGAAAATTTTGATTAAATTAGTGCGATACAAAAAAAAATAGGAACAAATTCCTGGCGAGGTCAAAATTGACCGGGAGCAGAAAGTTTGACCCATGTTCCGATATGGCCAAAAGAGTCAAGCGTGACTCAATTCACAGGGTATGTTAGCAGCAGAATTCCTCTTTCACATGAACTTTGAATCATGAGAAAATATGCATTTTTAGCAAAGTTATTGAATAATTTGTCCCCCCGCCGATGTGTGAATACACGGAATGTGCTCTCCGGCATACAACACAGAAGCTCATTATTCGAGGTGCGCTTCGTGCCGTTTTTCTCGAAAACGGGCAAATTTTCGAGAAAAATGATAAGGACCATTTTTGTAGAAAATTAACTGAACTTCAATTTTTATCTGAACCGAAAATCTTTAACTGCCATATTTTAGGAGATATTGGCTGAAAACCTATTTTTCTGGTCTTTTGAGGCCTCATGTTTAATGAGGTACCAAAACCTACTTCCAACTGGGAGATGAAAATAGTGCGTAATTAATGTTAACTTTTTCCCTTTATTTATTGGACTAAATGTAAAAACTTCACAAACGATAAGATTTCCACAAAATTCTTCAACATGTTTCGCTAACACAGTAGTTTCGTCAGGTGATATACTGATACAATGAATTACTAGTTCATTGTACCAGTATGTACTAGTTCGTTTGTGAAGTTTTTACATGTGTACTAGAACATTCTCAAATCTTCTAGACTCTAGAGCATTCACGTACATTATGCCAGCATCTCGAACATTCACGAACTTTCTGGTAGATTCTATTACCTTCTAATTCTCAAACGTCCACATACCTGATTATGGTCGACGGTGTACAGCAAGAGATCGCTCAAAATGGCCAGCCCCGTCCTGCCCACGCCGGCGGTGCAGTGCACCAGGATGGGCGGGTTCTTGTTGTGGCCGGGCGGTATCTCGCCCATCGAGTGCTGGTGCACGGACTGCGTCTCCTCGAGGAAGCCCAAGAAGTGGGCGACAGACTCGGGGCAGCCCTGGTCGCCCCAATCGGTGTAGTGCAGGTGCCATATCGTGCGGTAGCGGCGAGAGGCGACGTGGCACAGGCGCACCTTGCTCGTTACGCAGTGGCCCGTTTTTTGCGAGAACTCCCACCAAATTTGGTAATCCTTGAGAGGAGATATTTTTTGTATTAAACTTCATTACACTATACAAAATACAATATTAAATATCTCCTCGAGGAAGTCCAGTATATTGCAGGTGCCATATCGTGCGGTAGCGGCGAGATGCGACGTGGCACAAGAGTACCTTGCTCGTTACGCAGTGGCCCGTTTTTTGCGAGAACTCCCACCAAATTTGGTAATCCTTGAGAGGAGACTTTTTTTGTATTAATCTTTATTGCAATTTAATACATAAAATATGAAATGTCTCCTCGAGCAAGCTCAAAAAGTGGGCGACAGACTCGGGGCAGCCCTGGTCGCCCCCCCACCCCAATCGGTGTAGTACCTCGTCGAGCAGTGGCCTGTTTTTTGCAAGCTTGCACCACATTTGGTGATCCTTGAGAGGAGATATTTTTTGTATTAATCTTCATTGCACTATATTACAAAAAATATTAAATGTCTCCTCGAGGAAGCCCCAGTGGGCGACAGACTCGGGGCAGTCCTGGTCGCCAAAATCAAGCAGTGACCTGTTTTTTGTGAGAACTCCCACTAGATTTTGTAATCCTTAGATTTTTTTGTATTAATCTTCATTGCACTATACTACATGAAATATGAAATATCTCCTCGAGGAAGCCCACGTGGGCGACCGACTCGGGGCAGTCCTTTCGGACAGATTACGTAATTCGTCGAAAAATTATCTGGACGGTTTTTTTTTGTTTCATATACAATCCAAATAATATTAGGAAACGACGAAAGTGAGTCTTGCGGAGAGAGCCGAAATACGCAAATTTTCAACATTGTTCACATTGAATAAAAAAACTAAACGATAAAATTTCTAGAAAGTTTTATTCACTACCATGTCGAAAAGATTTTTATTTCACTGGGAAATTTGTAAGTTTGATATATACGTATTTTTTCTTTTTATCGTAAGATCAAATTTTACTTCAGAAAAAGAATAATGAAAAAGGAACTTGGCTCCTTCACCATTCCTATGACGTACTTTCTGAAAAGCCACATTCAAAAATAAGATTCCTCCCTGTGTCAGTACGACGTTATCGGCATCATCAGTATGTCTACATTTCCGGAAATTATTCTTTGAATACATTATAACTATATCATAACAGCAATTGCATATAATATATAAATTTTCAATCCTACTTCGTACTTTGTCCAGTATTAGGAACCATTTTCATAAATCTCTTATTTGCTGGATGAAGAATAATTATTTCACAATAGTATCTATAATTTATCACTTTCCTTATGTTACAAACTGATAATCATAACTTGTCAATCATTATTTTGCCAATAGATTCGTTCCTTTATAAAACTGATGTATTTTCTAAGAGTTGCAGATTATATCTTGCAACAGTGCATAATAGTTTCAGCCGGTCCACACCACACAAAACAAATTGCTAACAAGCACACCGAGAGCTGATCTGATTTTTTGGTTAGGTATGTTTTTCTTTACCAGTTTTACTTATGTCGATTCTTATTCTCGAGTTATTCGTTAGCCTAGGTCTACACTTTATAAATGTTTTGTTAGTTCGTAATATTTAGGACGTAAACAATGACGCCATGTTGTTTGCTTCTTCTATTTTTTTAGTCGTATTTTATTTCTTAGCCATTTGCTAGTTATACTCTTAATCATCAGCACACCACAACCAGATATAAAGTCAAAGCGGTGAGTAAATTCTTAATTAAAAGTAACTTGAGTATATAATAAGCATAATAATTCAAATTAATCTCGAATTCAAAAGCTACTCAGAAGAGGATAAACACGGAAACTCAAAGAGTATGGTGAAGAAGCCAGACATGCCACACGGCAAGCTCTCTTTGTAGAACAAGAAAATAAACAAGAAATAGATTATGGCTGCTGTGTAAATACGAAGGCCACAGAAAAGAAGAAGGATGAACAGAAGATGGTGTAGAAACTCCTATCAAATCCCATCTACTGTTTTTCGGTCAAAATTCTTGACCTACGGCCTACTTGACTGAAATATTCTTTTCAATATCGCGGAATATAGGTCGCATTTTACCCGTTAGATGGCGAAATCTCAACCGAAATTCAAGATTGGTAGAACTGATGATAATTGACATTCCCCAACATTACAGTTTCGTAGTTTCAAATTTAATTTCATTTGATTATGGTTATGTTATGAACGTAACGCTATTATTATTTCTGGTGCGAGCGGTGTGTAAGCGCCATTTTCTGTTTCCTGTCATGAAAGATATCTGCAAAAAGTGTCGCCATCTTGCGAACAATTGAGAACTAATATGCCATTATTGCGGTATCTGCGGTCAAGCGTTTTGGGAAAAACAAAACACTGTCTGTGATTACACCATATTCTATCCACCTTGATCATCAGTCATTTCAGACTAGATTCAGAATTTCAATCACAGTTTACCGCCCTGAAAATTGGAAATTGCGTTATTTTGAAAATAAAAACGACTTGGATTTTATCGTTCGCCATTATGTAAAGCGTGGACATAAAACTGAGTAGTCCCGATGAAAAGTCATTATACTTTTCAGCTTTTTGGGATTTTTTTTCAACGTTACGTCACGAAATTTTGTTATCAAACCTTAGTACACTACACTGTTTTACCACTAACCAAACCGATTTTTTAACGCCTCGACACGTGTTTCGCTAACTATGTTAGCATCTTCAGGAGAAGATTAGAGTTTTAATCTTCTCCTGAAGATGCTAACATAGTTAGCGAAACACGTGTCGAGGCATTAAAAAATCGGTTTGGTTAGTGGTGAAACAGTGTAGTGTATTATCGTGCCAAAGGTTCCAGTCTTCGATATATCAAACCTTAGATTGGATAACTTTCCTGGTGAAAATAAAATGTAACTGGTTAAGTCAGGCTGCAAGTTTAAGCAAAAGTTTCAACGAAAATCCATGGTTTTTACCTGATCTATGTCGACGCATCTGTCATCGGCGTCGGGCAGGTAAGTCATGTCTTCCGTGGGATCGGTCAGCTGCACCATGAGATACACTTCTGCCTCCCAAACGCACTGCCAGAAAAATGGCAGCGTCTGCTTGGTGGGACCCTGGGCTGCTATGTAAAACCGCTGTTTGCTACCAACAGTAGCCTAAAAACAAAAGGAATACTATATCTTCGTTCGTGTGCATCGTGCCTTCTGTTTGAGGTTCAATATCGCTCCGCGCGGTCGAATTATGCGTGAATTGTAGCTTATATAATGATAAAACGCCGAAGTTCCTCGCTTTCTTTCCTTGAAAATTGACTAAAATGTTTTTTTAAATATATACTTACAGTGATATGAGAAGCGTTGATGTAACCAAACTTGTTGTTTCTCGTTGGCGTTAGTCTCAACCTGTTATCCTCGTAAGGAAGTACATCTTTGAATCTGTTGAAAGCTGCATTGTCCGGATGAAGGGCAGTTTTGAAGTCTGCGTTTTGTTTTTTCTTCGGAATTTTGTCGAACTCGAAGAATAATTGGCTGTCGGCTAGCTTAGTTTCTAAAAGTTGGCACTAAAACAACAATATCAATGAAACTCAGAATTATTCTCAATGTTTCAATTTGTCCAATGTTTGACCAAATATTCTCAAAGATGGCCTGAATACTCTCAATTGATATATGAATATTCTCAGTGGTGGATGGATATTCCCAATGAGTCAGTGGATATTCTCAACAGTCGAATATTACCAAAGATTCATTCAATACTCCAATCTGCTGGATGAATTTTCCCAATGGTTGAGTTTTGTTTCTGATGGTTGGGTATATATTCCAGAGTGGTTATGATGTAGATATTCTTAACAGTCGAATATTACCAATAGTTGGGACGAATATTGAATGGTTCAGTAGATATTCTCAACAGTCGCATATTCCTAAAGATTGACTTCATACTACAATTAGTCCAAAGTTGAATTATCACAATAGTTTGTTATAATGATTGGGTGAATAACCTCAACAATGCAATGTTCTCATTGTTTCACTGGATATTTCCAAATGATTCAGCTGAGTCAAATAATCTCATAGGTTGAGTGAATATATTTGGATGAATGTTCCCGATGGTCAAGTTGATATTCTCAACAGTCGATTATTCCCAATGGTTGATTGCGAATTGCTAATGATTGGGAGTTCCCAATAGTTGAATGGATATTCTCAATGGTTCAGTATATATTCTCAACAGTCAAATATTCCCAGATGTTGAACGTATATTCTTAATAATGTATCAAGTGGTTGGGTGAATTTTCCCAATAGTTGGATGAATATTCCCGATGGTTCCGTGGATATTCTCAACAGTCGAATATTACCGAAGATTGGCCCAATACTCCAAACTGCTGGATGAATATTCCCAATGGTTGAGTGAATAGTTGGATGAATATTCCCGTTGGTTCAATTGATATTCTCAATAGTCGAATATTCACAATAATTTATTGTATATATATATAAAAATAGTGTTCTCAATCGTTGAATGAATATTCCCAATGGTTCAGTGGATATTCTCAATAGTTGGTTGAATATTCCCAATGGTTTAGTGGATATTTGCAAGAGTCAAATAATTTCAAAGGTGGACGAAAATTGGCGACAAACCAATGTTCTCACAAGCTTACTAAAAAATCTCAATGGTTGGATGAGGATTCCTAATGAATGAATGGTTATTCTAAACAGACGAAAATTACGAATGGTTGACTGAAAACTTCCGATATTTAGACGAATATTCCTAATGGTTGAGGGATATTCCCAACATTGAAACATCTCCGATAGTTGGGGAAATTACTCCATAGTTGGCTGACCTTTCCAAATATTCGAGTGTATGAATACTTGGATGAGTATTCCCTTTGCCAAAGTGAATATTCCGAACAGTCAGGAAAAAACATACCATGGTTTCCTTGCTGATGGAAGGCGGCAACGGATTGAACCTGGGAAGCCCGGTCGACCAGCGATGCTTGATGTTACTCTCGTTCCTATCCTCGTCCTTCTTCTTCTTCTCCCTGCCCAAGGTGGCGCTTTTCACCTTCTCCCCCGACTTGCTGCGCCCCATCAGGATGCCCCAGCGCTTCTTCTTCGATTTGGTGCTGCCGTTGGAGCTCGAGCTCACTTCTGCGAAGGTTTCACCTGCGGGGTGCACAAGCGATATGGACAAGGACACTAATTTCTAGAATAATACTATGATGTTCATCACGATGAGAGAAGGCACAGAATTTTTCTTTTTAAATTTTTCAATACTTCTAGATATCCCAAAATAAATTCCCGAAGAAATGCTTCCGTTGAAACACGACGGAACATCCACAGCGGGACTGACGTCACAAATTCTATAACTCTATAACTCGCCGACCATCCATGGGTAGTCAGGAAAATCGAAAATCCCCTATTCAGTGAGATAACTGATTTCAACAATATCATGTATGAACTGAGCAAGACAGTTTAAAGCTAACTCGTTGTTTTCTTATACACTGGATTGTGATGACATACATATATAGGTCGCGTGCACGATGACCGACCCTGGAGGTAAAATACCTATTGGAACACAACCTCACTCTTCTGTGAATTATTGAAACATAACCTCACTTTTTTATTTGTTTACAGAGGAATCAAAGGATTGAAATAGTTATTCCCAATATTTTGGCATACGAATCGTGTTTTTGCGCTATTCATTAACTCAAGCATGCCTTCGTATTGTGCTGTTGTACAATGCACAAAAAAATGCAGCGAGAGACGAAGGAATATGATTTTTCAAGTAAATAGTAGTCTCACATAGTTATCATTATGAAATGTTGTCATTCCTTATTTAAAATCCTTCTGCCACTTCTGCAATACAAGCTAATACTGCTTATAGATTGAAAATGTCTACAAAACACACGATCATATGTCGTCAGCATGTCAGAATTGCCAGACCAGTCCTCCCGTTTGATTGCATGAATCCAATCTTCTTGCATCATTTTAGACATTTCACGTGTATTTCTATTAGCTCCTATTGCTGGAGGAATTTCGATGAGAAATCAGAGAAATTACCAAATTTCAAAAATGAAAACTATATGTGAGTGACTATAGTAGGTACTTTTAAATCATAACGTACCAACAGAATTCCTTCGTCTTCTGCTGCAGTTTCTGTGCTATGTACAACAGCACAATGTGATGGCATGAGCGAATTAATGAATAGACGAAAAATACGATTCGTATGCCAAAATAATTGTGAAAAATTATTTCAATCACTTGTAAACAAATAAGAAAAGTGAGGTTGTGTTTCAATGTTGTTCCTCCAGGGTCGGTCATCTGACAGTTCTTGCACGCAACCTAGTAGAGTGATGTCACCAGCATTTGAGGTTCATTATATTGGCAATTATACCGAAATCCTTCAATTATATTGTTGCATAAACGAATACCTAATTTAGGATTAGACCGAATTTTGTCGCTGCTGCTCGAACCTACAACGTGCTACAACCTATATAGATTGTAGAATCGGCAATAGGGATGAAACCTATATATAGATGACATTTACTACATCAATGAATTTCAAATTATTTTAACAGTCCACAGTTGGATCGGTTCGAAAATTGAGATATATTCACTTGATATTTCCTTAAAATAAAACGGATTATCACGTCAATACTGGATAGAAGAGTTGACTGCCGAACGCTATACTTGAGCATCCATGACAGTCTAGAGTATTCAAACGGTGTTTTTAAATATCCATACTATACTATATTTCAAACGGCCTGTCTCACTGGAAGAGTTTACATCATCATTTTGAAGTACTAACCAAAACGGTCACAAACAGTTTCTTCCTCAGAGCTCTGTGAATTTTTTAAATAATTATTGAAATTCACGATATATCATAACATGAGCAAAGCGGAACAGCTTGTGACGTCATATACCGCGATCAACCCATTGCAATTATATACGATATGACATATTATGTATTGTGTATATTTCAGTCCACTCCTAATGAAGAAGTAAATTCTCATTTCTATGTAGAATGTGAAAATATTTTTATTGGTTGTTGAGCAATGGAACACTAATAGTGCTTATCGGAATAACACGTCATCGAGAGCTCGCGTTTTTGAGAGGTGATTATTTTGATTATGTAAAAAAATTGTTGTGGTGATTTTAAATGATGAATGAGAGTATCAAATAGTTTTAATACATGAAAATTTGAGGAGTAATATGAATAAAATATGATTCTCCTATAACTGTAAGAGAACTGTACTTTTTTAATATATTCTGTGTGACTAAGGTGTACTGTTAGCGACGATGTAAATTTTTTTTTTGTAAAATTTGTATATCGCTACTTCAAAGTTGGGAACCAACTCCCCAGAAGTCGAAACTTGTGCGGGGTTAGGAAGAGCGGGACCTACAGCTTATAGTGGAATCCGAACCACTTCTGCATCGAGGTGCTGTCAGGATTACAACCATGAATCACACATTTTAAAGGAAAATGCTCAGCCGCTAGTCGGATTCGAATCGACAGTACCTCTGCATCGTGAACGGCTATCTAGCGAATTTCAGCGCATAGACAAACTCGGCCACGGAGCACCCCGTAATTGAGAAGAACTCCTAAGGAATGCCTTATCGCAAGCGGCCTTGACGACTTATCGGTATTCGTGATCATCGTGTGATCGAAGATCGAGGCAGGTTTAGTCATTAGCATCGTAGCATCAGAACGAACCACTTGTCGATGTTGTATTTTTTTAAACGGCCATCTTTGTACAAGCCGTTCTGAGTGAATAAAAATGTGTTTGAGTGTTGAAACTGTGTCTATCTAGGATGCCTCCATTTAAAATCTTATACTACACCTTGGTACGACAACTACTAAATGGCTTGACCGATTGAGTTGAAATTTTTAATATGTAAAACAACAACAAAAATATGAAAGATACTGAGAGAATAACAATAGGTGTAAATAGCTATAGGTAAGTATCGCGCATCGCTCAGAACGACTGCAACAAATGTGTTATTTTTTTTTTGAATGGGTACACCAACCGTGCGAAGTGGGGCCGGACAGCTAGTTATTAGTATTTACCTGCGGAGTTCGTGTTGCTGTTGAAGAATGCCGCCGTGCTGACGTTGATGGTGGAGTTTTTGCTGAAGAGGGTGCACTTCGAGCTGTTGGACGGCTCGTCGGCGATATTCGAGACGGTGGTGGTGTCCAGCTTGTGGGAGTTGTCGGTGAGGTTGTGGGAGTTGAGGTCCGTTTTCGAAGAGGACTTGAGGCGGTCGATGTTGACGTACAGATTCTCTTTGCTACCTAAATGTAGAGGGAACCACTCGTTTCACCCAATTTTCGTAATAATATTAGATTTCAATTTTCATGAGCTCAACAGCACGTTTACAAACCCACATAGACAATGCCGTGAATTGGCTGAATGATTGGAGACTTAAAGTAAATCCTCAGAAATGTCAGCTAATGCTATTTAATCATGTAATAAATGATAATTCCCTAACGGTGATGATAGCCAATCATGAGATCAACCCCACCAACACTATGAAGTGCCTTGGAGTCCATCTGGACAATAAACTGAATTTCAAGTATCACTCCAAAATCTGTAAACAAAAAATAACATCGAGAGCAAAATATTTCAGAAGTCTTACATACAAACAAAATGGCATCAACATCGGAGCAGCAGCAAAGATATACAGGGTGTCCCAAAATTAGCCTGCCAAACTTCACCAGCGGCTTCTACGATCAAAAATGGGAAGGAAAGTTCCAATGAACATGAGACGAGAAATGTCTCCTAAGGGAGCTGCGGCCCCCTGGAAGGGGGTCCTGAAGATGATATTTCTTGAGTATTTCCGAAACTCCATGTGATAAAAAGATGCAATTTGCTACAAGAACTAAACTTTGCAGTGCAATGCAGATATTGTATTTGCATGTATATATGTGTCTTTACCTTTCCTATTATTGATATTGAGCTGCTGCATTTGGGACTGTACAGCATTGACGACCGCGTGGTTGACTACCTGGCTCATTTCGGGGGGCGCGGAATGGATGCTTTGCGTTCTCGCTCTCATTTCGCCCTCGTTTTGCCAGGGTAGAGGGATGTTCTCGTAGATGGGCTCGGCTGACGTATTGAGGGACGGGTCGTGAGCGACTACAGCGTTCTGGTTGCGTGTCACCACGAAACCTACGAGATTTTTTTTTTTTTTCAATTGACTCGGATGATGGAAATCCATGGCAAATGTAGAAACTTCACAAACGATAAAATTTCCACAAAATTCTCAAACACACGACATGTTTCGCTAACACAGTAGCTTCGTCAGGTGAACTAAACTAATTTCGAGTTCAAGGGCGTCGCCAGCGGAGAAATTAGGGGGGCACCATAAAAAAACTGAAGAGAAAAATCAAATAGAAAGAGTTTAATGAGAAAATAAAAAAACAGAAAAAAATCTATACAGTAAATCAGTTGAAAAATAATCTTCTAGGGTTCTTTGGGAATTCGTTGGTCACTTTTTGACGAAATCGTTCAAGTTTTTGAAAATATGTTGCCTGTGTATACTCATCATTGCGAGGCCATTGAGTCGATCATCATACATGGTGCTCCTCAACCAGGTTTTGATTCTCCTAAGGCTACTAAATGACCTTTCAACTGTACAAATCTTACAAGGTAAAGGCAACAAGGATCTTCAGAGCCTTCTCAACTTCAGGAGAAAAATATACTTTCGGAAGTTCTTTGCTCAGTGAGCGTTATCATAAGTAATATCACGATATTCTTAATATTCGAGATAATTCTGTCGCCTCATTGTTCACGAAATTGTGTTGCTGAGCAACACCACGAGTCAGGACGAAAGGTAGGGCTGTACGGCAACACAATAGATTTGACAAGGAAATGAAGAATTATGAGAATATATTCAGAACAGAGTGGAGACTAATTCACGTTCACAAAGCAAAGAAGCATTTATTTCGAATGAATGATTCATTCTGACAAGTACAGTCATTATTTTTTGTCAAATTGACAGACTTCGCTTCGATACCCATGGTTACATCATTGAAAACATCTAGTTTTCGCGATAAGCACACGTTTTCTCTGGCTTGTGATTGGTCAGATTATGTGATGAATGAAATAGTCGTTTCAATGATAGCAGGGTGACTGGTGAGCGTTAAACGTAGGGGGGGGGCAGCTGCCCCACCCTGCGCCTCTCTGGCGACGCCCTTGAAACGAGCAAACAATTGTGGCGGCGCCCATTTGGCCGATATCATCTTCTCGACTTGACCGATAAAATTCTAAAGGTTGAAATAAAAATAATCAAAAAACAGAATCGAAGCTTTTCATTTAGAAAAAAAATGGGAGCCAAACAACATCGGATGACTTCTTTTGGCCCACCTTGTAGAAGGAGAAGAGACGAAATTGTTTACATTTTGTGCCGATCCATATTGTGTTTGTTTGTTCCTTGATTGAAATATGTGAATTCTGCTATTAAAACAATTCAAATTTTCTCAGTTTCATCATTACCTAAAATAATGATGATTTGATGGCAATAACTGTGGCAACGCTGTATTGCCGTGTTCACTAGGAGTTACGCATATTTTTCTGAAAGTAATTCACGTATGTCAAAATCCGACATTACAGTGTTGTTGTGCTGTGTTTGTTTCCATTTTGGGCTTTATTGTGTATTAACTGATTCCCAGTGTTTTCTTGTTATAAAACACGAAATAAAACTATACATAAAAAACCGTTATTGACAATCTACTATCTATTAGAGTAGAGCCTGCGAATTGGCTCTCAAGTAGGCGAGACAATAGAAAGATTTTCGACGAGGTGCATAATAATTTTTTCTGTCGACCTTCGTAAATAAGTAATTTGAGAGCGAATCATCCAAATGAAATGAATTGAATGAAAATTTCATCGGTAAATATTCAGGCTGTGCAATAGAGCGGTAGTTCATGCAATGAAAACAATAGATCTAGCGCAAAAACGGTAGACCTGGCAACACTGGTATAATAACCCCTATTCCCCGTAACTAGCCATGTTGCCAAAGGCCAATCTTTCATAATACTCCTATATGTGATGATTCAATAAACAATCTGTATATTGGTCAGACAGATAGATCGTTTTATCATCGAATTTACGAACATAAAATAAGTTTTTTGAAAGTCACTGTTGAGTTAATTCATTGATTGATTATTTCACTTGAAGAAACTACTGTGTAAGCAATGTTATCAAGAATTTTGCGAAAATCTCATCGTTTATGAACATTTTTACATTTACGATATCATTTGTTATGTCATCAGGGTCTATTAGCTAAACAGATATGAAACACTATTTTTTCAAGATAAAGTGCTGACCTGTGCTTGGCAGTTGATTTTCCTGCAAGATCTGCTTCATATTGGCTGGCATACAGTAGATGATATTTCCGTGTTCGTCGTAGACCTTTTTGATGTGTTTCGTTATATTCGGATTCTCTACGATCAGAGCCTGCGGCCTTCCCAACATGTTATTGTTGAAAATCGAGGCGAGATTCTCGTAAGTACCATGTTGTGGAGGTAAATAGCTTTGAGATCTGTGGAAACAAACGGGTGTCAACGAATTTATTAGACAAGTCATAACTTCTAGAATATCAAGTGTATCAAAATGAAATAGACCAGTGGATTATTTTTTTTTTCATTTCGTACCAAAACTATTGGATAGTTTGATAAGTGATCAATTGAAATTCCATTGTAGAGAGAGATTAATAAGTAATCAACATGGATTTTCTCAGAATAAGTCTACAATTACAAATCTGTTGGTTTTTCAGCAGAGAATATTAAATGCCTTGGAAAACAAGGGTCAGATGGATGCAATCTATACTGATTTCTCCAAGGCATTTGATCGTGTGGACCATAGAATTTTGTTAAATAAAATGGGTTCATTCGGTTTCTCTGATCAATCTCTATCCTGGTTCGAAAGTTTCTTAACTGGTCGTACTCAGCAAGTTAGAGTAGGAAAAGCAAAATCGAATATTATTCCTGTACCTTCAGGTGTACCTCAAGGATCTCATTGTGCTCCTCTCCTATTTAATATTTTTGTTAATGACATTGTACATTGTTTTGAAAATTCAGATTTTTTATTGTTTGCAGATGATTTGAAGCTTTTTAGACAAATAAATTCATTAGATGATGTTAATTTGATTCAGCATGATTTGGACAACTTGGCTAGGTGGTGCAATGAAAATAACTTGCATATGAATATCAATAAATGTTGCTCAATTAGCTTCTACAAATGGAATAAAAAAGTTTTTATTTCTTACTCTATTGATGGAAACCAGTTAACAAATGTTAAATCAGTTAAAGACCTGGGAGTCACTTTTGATGAACAGTTACGATTTGTAGAGCATATAAACAATATTTCAGTGAATACATCAAAATTGTTGGGATTTATCTTGCCTAACTGCAAACAATTGTCAGTGAGTTCAATACGTACTGTATATATGGCGTTAATAATATCTCGGTTAGAGTATGGGTCAATGGTTTGGTCACCCTTTTATGAGAATCACTGCACTACATTAGATCTATTATGAACATTCTCAACCTCAACTCTTTGAATAAAAGAAGAACAATTGCTGACCTGATGTTTATGTTTAAGTTGATTGGAGGCCTTGTTATTTGTCCTGAGCTCCTTGAAATGATATTTTTACATGTACCTAGTAGAATTCTCAGGAATTCTGATATGTTTCGAATTTCCTTTCATCGTTCTAACTATGGTATGCATTCTCCTATTGATCGTACACTCAGATTGGTGAATGAGAAAAATATAGAGATAACAGGCATAACTCTTACTGCATTCAAAAATAATGTATTGAGAACATTATGAGCATCATTATCACATAATATAAGTTTCATTTTGTATAATCAATAGATATGGACATTTTGGTATATAATTTCCACTGAGGGAGTAATTTTTCCATCTATTTTCATATTTATAATGTATACTATAATTATTAATTAGTTAAACTCTTTAGTGACTACATAGATTTAATACATGATTTGTATTTATTATAATGGGGGTTACCCGTACAATAAATAAATAAAAAAAAATAAAAAAATAAAAAAAATAAAAAGAATCATCACTCAAATACCTTTCAATTTCATATTTTTTATTTGAAAGATTTCACTCCACTTTGAGGATCATGGACTCCTACCAAAGTTTAGGATTATTGTTTGACGTAAATTTTTCAATGATGAATGGATAGCTGAATACCTGTGTCTATCTATTGATATTAAATCTGAACCTAAACTGGAAAAGCTGTAGCAAGAAATAAACTTCCGAAAAAAGTGTAGCTAAATCAGACATCCCTTCTAACCTGAGTTGGGTACGAAAACAATGTCATTACTTAGGTCACCAAACGTCAAGACATACTACTCTGAAAAGGATACTGGATAGCAAGTTGTGCATAGGTCTATGCTGATTCCATTCACACATATTCTCTAGATATTCAATATATATCTTTAACGAATATCAATAGTTCTCTCACGATGAGTCCGCAGAGTTATCCCCACCATTCGCGATATTATTCATTATTATCCGTGTTTGACGTTTAAGAATGTTGGCGTATACTTTCCAATGATTCATGAATGAATCTCGGTGTCTATCTCACCCGCAAATGTACAAGGGTCTGTTATTATCCCCACCATTCGCAATTCCATTCATTTATCCGTGTTTGGCGTTCAGGAATGTTGGCAATTATTTGTGAATGAAACGCTGTGTTCATCTATTGTTATTTAGTATCCGCGCTTTGAACCTAAACTGGAAAAGCTGTAGCAAGAAATAAACTTTCGAAAAAAGTGTAGCTCATCATTTTTACCCAATGAATCTCTCAATTCCTTCTCACCGGTGTATCGGATGTGCCTGATGGGTCGGAGTACAGCTGCCGCAGATAGAAATGACAGCCGGACACCAGGTCCGGACTATTGTCGCTGACGTCAATGATTCTGCAGAGTTATCCCCACCATTCACGATTTCATTCATTTATCCATGTTTGGCATTTAGTTTAGGATTGTTGGCGTATACTTTCCAATGATTTATGAACGAATGGTGGTGTATATCTATCGATTTAGTGTGAACATCGGTATGAACTCAAAGTGGAAAAGCTGTAGCAAGAAATAAACTTCCGAAAAAAAGTGTAGCTTGTCATTTTTTCCCAATAAATCTCTTAATTTCTTCTCACCGGTGTATCGGGTGTGCCTGATGGTCGGAGTACAGCTGCCTCAAATAGAAATGCACGTCGGACTAGAGCCGATGACAGCAATGATTCTGCAGTTATCCCCACCATTCGTGATTTCATTCATTAATCCGTGTTTGGTATTTAGTTTAGGTTTATTGGCGTATACTTTCCAATGATTTATGAACGAATGGTGGTGTATATCTATCGATTTAGTGTAAACATCGGTATGAACTCAAAGTGGAAAAGCTGTAGCACGAAATAAACTTCCGAAAAAAAAACTGTAGCTCATCATTTTTTTCCAATAAATCTCGTTTTTTTTTCTCACCGGTGTATCGGGTGTGCCTGATGGTCGGAGTACAGCTGCCTCAAATAGAAATGCCCGTCGGACTAGAGCCGCTGACAGCAATGATTCTGCAGTTATCCCCACCATTCGTGATTTCATTCATTAATCCGTGTTTGGTATTTAGTTTAGGTTTATTGGCGTATACTTTCCAATGATTTATGAACGAATGGTGGTGTATATCTATCGATTTAGTGTAAACATCGGTATGAACTCAAAGTGGAAAAGCTGTAGCACGAAATAAACTTCCGAAAAAATAACTCTAGCTCATCATTTTTTCCCAATAAATCTCGTTTTTTTTTCTCACCGGTGTATCGGGTGTGCCTGATGGTCGGAGTACAGCTGCCTCAAATAGAAATGCCCGTCGGACTAGAGCCGCTGACAGCAATGATTCTGCAGTTATCCCCACCATTCGTGATTTCATTCATTAATCCGTGTTTGGTATTTAGTTTAGGATTGTTGGCGTATACTTTTCAATGATTTATGAACGAATGGTGGTGTATATCTATTGTTATTTAGTGTGAACATCGGTTTGAACTTGAACTGGAAAAGCTGTAGCAAGAAATAAACTTCGGAAAAAAACTCTAGCTCATAATTTTTCCTAACAAATCGCGTAATTTCTTCTCACCGGTGTATCGGGTGTGCCTGATGGTCGGAGTACAGCTGCCTCAGATAGAAATGTCCGCCGGACACCAGGTCCGGACTAGAGTCGCTGACGTCAATGATTCTGCAGATTTATCCCCACCATTCGCGATTTCATTCATTTATCCGTGTTTGGCATTTAGTTTAGGATTGTTGGCGTATACTTTCCAATTATTATTATTACATATATTAATGAACGAATGCCGGTGTATATCTATCGATTTAGTGTGAACATCGGTATGAACTGAGAGTGGAAAAGCTGTAGCACGAAATAAACTTCCGAAAAAAAAACTCTAGCTCATCATTTTTTCCCAATAAATCTCTTTATTTCTTCTCACCGGTGTATCGGGTGTGCCTGATGGTCGGAGTACAGCTGCCTCAAATAGAAATGCCCGTCGGACTAGAGCCGATTACAGTAATGATCCTGCAGTTATTCCCACCATTCGTGATTTCATTCATTAATCCGTGTTTGGCATTTAGTTTAGTATTGTTGGCGTATACTTTTCAATGATTTATGAACGAATGGCGGTGTATATCTATTGTCATTTAGTGTAAAAATCGGTAGGAACTTGAACTGGAAAAGCTGTAGAACGAAATAAACTTCCGAAAAAAAACTGTAGCTCATCATTTTTCCCAATGAATCTCGTAATTTCTTCTCACCGGTGTATCGGGTGTGCCTGATGGTCGGAGTACAGCTGCCTCAGATAGAAATGTCCGCCGGACACCAGGTCCGGACTGGACCCGCTGACAGCGGCGCCCACAAAGCCCGGATGCGGCTTCAGCTGTTGCGACATGCCGGCCAAATCGGGGGTGGAATTCGAGCCGATCCTGTGGGCAGGGTACGGGGGCGGAGGTTTGTACGCGTGCGGAATGGCCGAGCTGTCCACCATTTGCTAGAAGTAAACAAATTAGGGCGATGTGAATGCTGAATTTTCGAAATTGAAATTTCGAATTTTCTTTCTGAGTATACGGGGTGGCCAGAAGAATACACAATTAAACAATTTGATCTTTAATCAATTGGATGAACAAGTGCTGGGATCCTCCATAAAGCCCCCTTTGGGCCATGGGCAATTTGCCCTTCATTATTTATTTGTAATAATGTAAAAATTGTACCATTTAATATTATTGTTACCTTCTCTTTTTTCACTTCCACAAATTGTCATTCAAAATATGCTTCTGCTGATGATGGACTATTGATAGTCCGAAATATGTTCAGACACTGATTATTCAGTTAATAAATTTGTGGAGATGACTTAGTGGGTCTTGTTTATGAATTAAACAATTGCTTCCCCTCTATCAAATTCACTTTTGAATGCGAAAACAACGGTCAATTACCATTCTTAGATGTTCTTGTGATCAAAATTGGCAAAAACAATTTAGAATTTGATGTTTTTAGCAAAGAAACTAACACACTCAGATACATGACTTATGACTCAAATCACTGTTTTCAATACAAAATGGCAAGTTTAAACTTCCTAGTACATAGACTAGTTTCATTTCCTCAGCAAACAAAGATTCGATGTTGAAAGGAGTGTTGTTCATAAAGTGGCTGCCGCCAATGGTTATGATATCAAAATAGTAAATTAATTAATACAGTGTGACCCACTTCTAATGGAAACACCCTTGTATCTCACGTAATCGTTGTGTAAGGATCCTGAAATTTGCTGGAGTGAGAGATATACCAAAAGTGCACTCTATGACCAAGTGGGGTCATCTTCAGTGATATACACTGCTCGCCAACAGCCATGGAACCATTTTCCGGAAAATGATATTAGGAGTCAAAGAAGGTTAACAATCAGTTCGGATTCGGAATCAGGACGCTTAATTCGCTAACTATTCACAGTTTTCCTAGAAAATTTTCAGTTCAGAAAAATTAAATTTTGTCTCACTTCTGACGGAAGCACCCCCCATTTCAAGCGGATAAAAACAATTCGAGAAAAATTCCAATCCCTTCAATCACAAGTGCACAACAGGACTTGATAAGGTTTTCAAAGACTTGTGTTTTGAAGCAATTTATTAGGTTATCTAAAAGATAAGGTGGACATACTTGAAAAGTCAGGAATATATCAAGCTAGTTGTAATGATTGTGATGAAACATATATGGGCCAAACCAGGCATCCCATAAAAACAAGGTTCAAAGAGCACTTAGCACATTTGAAATATGGTAGGTTAGATAAATCGTGTGTAGCTGAACACATGTTATAGATATATAGATATTTAAGAATAGTAATAGAGTAATGAATAAGAATAATTTATATATTGAATTTATGTACTTCATTGTGGTCATTTTAGGAACTTTACTCTTGTAGGTACCTGATCTCAAATTTCGTGATGTGTCTATAAGCTCTGTGTTTGATTATTATTATTATTATTTACCTGTGATCCTGGAAATGCTGTTTTATAAATGAGATTTTTCTGTTCCACATTATTGTGAGTCACATCTGGATAATGCAGATGAGTCGAATATGAGTCAGCTTGGTGAATCTCTGGCTGAGAGCTATACAAAATCGGGTGAGCATTACGAATTGGCTCGTGACTCGTTATGGCACCTAGAAAATTTGAAGAAACAATTAAAGATTGCAGGAAAAGTCTGAATTGATCAAAATAAAAAAACAATAAAATTCTTAGAAAAATTATAAAATTCGGAGTAGACCGAAGTTGGCTTCATTTCAGGAGCAGATTGAAGAAAAATGTTCATCACTTTTTAGTAATGAATCAACTCCGCCATCGAAAACACCATTAGGCGATGACGTGTCATTTTGACATCGGAAAAAAAAGTGCATTTATTTATATCGCTTGTTGATGAAAAGCGTGTTCAAATTATTGATGACATCAAATAGACGTCACAAAATCCATCAATCAATCAAATGACTTATTATATTACAACACGTGAAAGTAAATTCATTCATTGAAATTTTGGTATATATGTATGTTCGAATAGGTTTCCGCGGTCAGAAATTTGAAAACGAGGAGTTCGGGTTGAACCGCGTCTAGAATCTGTAGAGATTCGACGTTTCGGCACCGAATTAGGAGCCATTTTCAAGAACTGGAATATAGAAATGAATAGAAATAAAACGATGAAAGGAAAATAAAGGGAGTGGTTTTTTTTTATTACAAAAGTCGAGCACCATATTGAATTCGCCATCATGAAGTTTAGAAATTTTGAAGAAAAAATCATAACGTTCCCCCCCAAAAATCCCCAGATACCAATTTTGAATAGAATCGAACCATAATTACAAAACTCGTCCGATATATTAGATCCGCCATTTTGAATTTCCTAACAAACAAACAAACAAACAAACAGTCGAATATTTCCTCTTTACAATATTTGTATAGATATCTTCCAGTCAGAACAAGTTCTGGTATGAGGAAGAACATAATTATAAAATAATGAGTAATAAATATTTATGAACTACTACACAAACATGAGTAGAAGTGAACATAAATTTTTTTTTTTATCGATTGGAGCGCACGAAAGGGAATCCCTATAATGTTCAAAGAACATCGTGCGTTCCTAGGGAGGATAGGGACAGGAGGTAGATATTGGAATTTTTTTTGAAAAGAATCCGATCATAATTACAGAACTCGTCCGTCATATTGGATCCGCCATCTTGAATATCTTAATTTTTCTTTCATAAGAACCTTCATTGTATGTATTAATTTTCAAATACTGAATCCCATTGGTCCAGTAATATTGGCTTCGACGCGAGCGAGGCCGCGGGTAGAAGCTATTTATTATATACAGGGTATATCTAAATAACACCGAAAAAAATTCCTTGTGATATTTTAGGAAATAAAGTTCATATGAACATGTGTCCTAACTTGCTTTGTTTTCGAGATACAGGGTAATAATATTTCCATGAAAGATCGTTTTTTTAATCATTACTCAATTGTCTTTTCATCAATTTCAATAAAACGTTGTGGTTTTGTTAATAGTAATATGGAGCTTCTTCTGGTGCATTCAGATTCGAAATAATATTTCCAGTGGCGTCACAATGACTCAAAATTTAATGTAGGTGTTTTCAAGACTTCCATTGAGATTACTCAATAGCCCCAATTACAATCACTTTGAAATTTTGGGACTTTCTCAGTCTCCAACCATAAAGAATTTTGGCACCATGAAAGCTTATACATATACAGAGAAGTGCACAATAAACGGCCAGTGCTGTAACTTCTGAATCATTTGAGATCGCATTTTGAAAATTGGTGGGTAGCAAGTATACCAAATTGCTCATCAATTGACAAACCAATTTTTGTTCTATCACTTCCGGTTTCACCGGAAACGAACCTAACTTTTAATTTTTAAATAGGACACCCTGTATTTTATTCCATTATCAGTTAGGGATTATCATAACGAATTCAACGATACCGGATTTGATAGGGTTATTTCAAACGATTCCGAAGATATTCGCGTTTTAATTTTCCATATGCTCAATAGGGCTATATTCCGAATTCAACTGACAGTACTGAATCTGCTGATTTTTTATTCCGAAATCAAAGAAATTCACTGAGAGTGACAGATACTTGTGAGCAGACATACTATTCATTCCAAATATTTCGACTCAACATTCTGCTGAAATTGCTGACTATCGAAAACTAGTGTGGCTTCAGTGAACTGTCATTATTTTGAGGGGGAAGGAATTTCATATTTATTTCTGTTGTTATTTAAATATTAAGCCTTGTCTCATCAATAATAAATTGAAAATATCATATTCAATATCAGAAAATGCATGTTATAAAATTAATTGTCGCTGAGAATAATATTCAAATTTTACCAGCTGATCAACTGCTGTTGATTACTGATGAAAACCATGAAAACGTGTTCCGAATGGGCTTATATCACAAAAAAATTGTATTTCATAATTCGATAGAACTCACCCAAACTAGCTCAACACCGCAAACCGTTTCTTGCTGTGAGCTCCCTACGTTTCATAAAAAATTATTGAAATCCCCGATTTTTCGGACCTCTGAAAACGAGGCGATGATGTGACGTCAAAACCCTTATACTGAAACCAGACTATTCCAGACAGAGATGAATGATACATGATTTCTGACAGAGTGAATTAGCGCGAGATCACAGTTGAAAGAATTAATATATCAGTTGCCTCAGTATCCGTCGGGCGTTTGGTATTTTCTTTTAACTGTGGCGAGATGAGGTTTCTACGTCATAAGAGGGTCCGTTTTCAGATGGAACTATTATTTATGTCCAAAAATAAAACATTCCAGTTAATCGAATTATGTCGTCAATCATAATTCATATTATAAACATGGTTTGAGTTAAAAGTTCTACTAAGGTGTACACGCCCATTACAGCACTGTATTTTTGATTTTTGATTTCGGAACACAGATTTTCAGCAGAATCAGTAGATTTACTGACAGTACTGGCCAGTTGGCAATATCGAAACTTCTTTTTCTGTCCCATTTATTGAGCATGAAATGTCTTTGCTAAATTGAAACACGAATTGTATTTACCGTTATTTATTAACTTCAAAACTGTTAAATTACCATGCCGACATTATCTATTTCGGTGATCCTGATAAACTGCTGGCACCTGACATGATAGCAGGTGACATGGTGCGTGCGCATAGATAGGTAAAGGATAGTCTATACACTACACTACCTCGTAAAGGTTGGTCAATACACTACACCACCTCACCCTTAAAAGCTGGCAATTTAACGACAATTCGAATGCACTTAAAATCTAAATCTATTAGGAATCTTCCTGATGCGTACTGGGCGAGCAAAAATGGAGTCGTCGTTTGACTGCGAATCGTTATTGATTTGAGCTCGAGTTTGAATGTTTGAATGCTCAGGATTACATGACTCTAGTTTTTCATCAATACCATCAGACTCCAGGTTTACTTCCCTTTCATCATGAGAAACAATATCTGTGGTGTCTTCTGCATCACTGAAGGAATCGTTACTACTAAGATCACTTATGTGTTCCTTTGTTTGCTTGAATTCATAATTACTATCAGAATCATCTTCAGTGTTATCATGAAGAACGGTTTTAATTTGATTAGTATGTCTTTTCCATGTCAGCTGACAATCTAATGGTTTGACCACATAGACATTTTTTCCCAGAATGCGAGTTACTCTTGCTTTACACCAAGAAGCCTTGACACGTCTGTAATCTTTAGTTAATACAATTTGTCCTACTAAAAACTCTACTCTTCTCCTCCCCTTATAATATTTTTTGTTTCTGAGTTGAGCTTCATACAAATTCGATCTTATTTTTGTTAAATCTACATGATCCTGACCACCATTTTGTAAACTCTGTGGTTTGATTAAATCGAGTCGAGTTCTTAAAGATCTACCTAGAAAAACTCTTGCAGGAGTTTCTCCTGATGAACAATGGACTGTGTTTCTATAAGTAAGAAGGAACTTTGATAATGATAATTTCATATTATTGTGATCCAATTCTTTTAATAGAAAATGCTTAACATTTTTTACAGTGTTTTCTGCAGCTCCATTACAATGTGCAGAAAAGGGCGGAATGGTTAAATGCTGAATTCCATTTATTTTAATGAAATGTTCGAATTCTTTTGAAGTCAATTGGGGGCCATTGTCACTTACTAGAGTGACTGGCAAACCATATCGAGCAAATACTTCTCTAAGTATAGAAATTGTTGCTGCAGAAGTAATAGTAGTCATAGGGTATACTTCTATCCACTTTGAAAAAGCGTCAAGGATTATGAAAAAAAAATTATTCTTTTTAGTTTCAAAAAAATCTACATGTATTCGTGCCCATACTCGCTCTGGAATAGACCATCCCTGTAGTGGTACTTTTGGTGGATTCGACTGTATTTTCTGGCACTGTTCACATGTTTTGCTGATTTTTTCAATGTCCCCATTGAGAGATGGCCACCAAATATAGGACCTAGCTAAAAGTTTCATTTTAATGATTCCAAAATGGGCACTGTGCAACTCTTCCAGCATCTTTTTACGTAATTTAGCCGGAATTATGACCCTCTGTCCCCATAACAATATATTTTCATCTATCCCTAATTCATTTCTTTTTAAATAGTATGGTTTTATCTCTGGTTCTATATTTTGTGGCCATTTTGTCATTAAATAATCTCTCACTTTTGACAATACCGGATCTACCTGCGTTTGTTCTCGAATAATCTCCGCATTTATAGGTATTTCTGAGTTTTCTGTAAGATAGTGTACGTTTATTACTTCTTCATCTAAATCGAATTTTGTTTCAGAAGTAACTTGATGATTTGTAATAGGAAGTCTGCTCAAAAAATCTGCTATGTTTCTACTTGTATGTACGTACCTAATATTGAAGTCAAATCCGCTCAAAAAATACGCATAGCGTTGTAACCTATTGGCTGCTAATAAGGGAATACCATGTTTCGGGCCAAAAATCGATACGAGGGCTTTATTGTCACTGATCAGGTTGAATTTTTTTCCGTATAAATATTGATAGAAACGCTTAACCCCCCAAACTATGGCAGTAGCTTCTTTGTCTAAAGCAGAATATCCCATTTCAGCTCTGGTTAATGTACGACTAGCATAGCATATGGGCCTTTCCACGCCATTCTCGAAAGTATGTGAAATGACAGCTCCTATGCCATAATCTGAACTGTCGACAGTCAAACTTATTTCTAAACTTGGATCAAAATGCACCAACACATTTTCCGACGTCAATATTCTCTTAATCTCTTCAAACGCTTGACGACAGTCATCATTCCACTGCCAAAATGCATTTTTTCTCAAAAGTTTGTACAGTGGGTTTAGGATATCTGAAATATTGCCTATAAACCTATTATAGTAATTAATCGATCCTAAAAAGGACTTGAGTTGGGTTACATTTGTAGGTTCAGGAATATTCTGAATTGCTGTGATTTTTTCAGGGCTTTTGTGTAGACCTTCCCTGTCTATTATAAAACCTAAATATGATACGGATTTTGAAAAGAATACGCATTTATCCTTCTTTAAAGTAAGCCCTGCCTCTTGTAGGATTCTTAGAACTGTACATAAATTTTCAATATGTTTTTCCTTTGTCTGCCCCGTGATTAGTATATCATCTAGAAAAATCGCGATACCAGGCATGTCTACAAATATTTGTTCCATTATTCGCTGAAACTGCGAAGGCCCTGAGGATACCCCGAATGGTAATCTATTAAATTGAAACAGCCCCTTGTGAGTACTTATGACTGTGTATTTACGAGAATCAGGGTGAATTATAATTTGTTGATAAGCTTGACTCAGATCAAGTTTCGTGTATTCTTGACCTCCCCTCAATGTTGCAAATAGGTCATCGATCCTTGGGAGAGGATATTTATCTGCCAAAATATGAGGGTTGATCGTTATTTTATAATCGCAGCAAATCCTTATTCCACCTCCTTTCTTCAACACGGGAACTATGGGTGTTCCCCACTCCGAAAACTCTACGGGGGAAATAATTTGGTTACTCATTAAATTTTCTAATTCTGCTTCTACTTTGCTTTTCAAAGAAAATGGCAAGGGACGGGGTTTGTGAAATACCGGTACTGCATCAGCACTCATATTTAATTTTAATTCGAATTTATTAAATGTGCCCAATGAGTCAGAAAATACAGCCGAATATTCTTTCATCAGCTTATCAATACAATTATCCATAACATAATTCAACTCTTTAAAACCCATATTATAATTTCTTATGAAATTTCGTCCAAGTAGGGCCGGCCCCTCCTTGCGCATAATGTAGAAATCTAAATGATTTGTTTTGTTATTAAATTTAACTTGCAAGTTGATTTTCCCTACGGGATGTATTTTATCGCCAGAAAAATCAATCAGAGTAATATTTGCTTCTGTCAGTGGTTTGTTATCAAAATATTGTTTAAACATGCTGAATGGTAAAACAGAGACTGCAGCCCCAGAATCTAATTCAAGTTTGAACATTTCACCTTCGATTTGAATATCTATATAAAGAGGCACATCATTATCGGAATGTAAACACAAAACTGGTGATGTTTCATCCCTCTCGATAAAATGCTCATCACTTTCTAAAAATCTCAAGGATCTATTTGATTGTTTACATACCGCTCTGAGGTGTCCTCTACCATTACACCCACTACAAATATATTCCTTATAAGGGCACTCATTGGCATAATGATTTTTTCCACAACGATAACACTTTGCTCGCACACTTTCTCCACTAGCACTATCACTACCTCCGCTCCTGGCGTTTCCTCCTTGATTACGTTGAAATGTTTTCCCTTGGTATGTCCCATAACCAGAATAACCGTCTCTTCGGTAATTCTGGACATTGTTTCTATGGCCTTGCCGGCCTTGGGAATATGTATCCCGTTCCCGTTGACTGGGACCACTACTGGAACTGATGCTACTATTTCCCACTCTCCCCCTTGCCGATGCCACCCGATGAACGTACACATCTTCATCCCAATGGGGTTCAGTTTTTATTTGTGATTGTGATTCTAACTTCACTTCTCTCATGCCTGCTATAGCGGCTTCTTCAATTTCCGCTGTTTCCATAGCCTTTTGAAAGCTTACATCTGCCTTCAACCCGAACAGAGAGTTCTTAACCTTACTCTCATTATATTTAGAAATAAACATATCAGTCAGTTTTGAATCGAGACTATTTCCGAATTCACAATGACTCGCTAAGTTTTTTAACCGCGCACTCCATTCCTGCACTGACTCATCCTGGTTCTTGATTGCCGCAAAAAACTTTGTGCGTTCGACCCATACCACACTGGTTTTTGCATAGTAACTATTCAAGTTTTTTGATATATCCTCGTAGCTACACTGCTCAGGGTTATTTGGAATCGACAAATCGGATAACAATAAATAGGCCTCCTCAGCGAGGCTATACAATAATACTGCCCTTTTTATGTTATCATCAGTGATTCCCTTGGCAATGAAATATTGCTCTAGACGCTTGATAAATACCCGCCAATCACTGGTCTTTGGATCGAAAACCAAATTGAGTCCTGTGCCGATCGCGTCAATAGGATCCGGCATATTTATGTTTTTCGGTCGCACTTGTTGCACTTCCAACTCGCGTCTGTTTTACTTGGTTTTACTGCTATCAGATGTTGTCTATACGACCGCGAACTTCACAAAATCACTTTTATCCTCGTCGCCATGAAATGTCTTTGCTAAATTGAAACACGAATTGTATTTACCGTTATTTATTAACTTCAAAACTGTTAAATTACCATGCCGACATTATCTATTTCGGTGATCCTGATAAACTGCTGGCACCTGACATGATAGCAGGTGACATGGTGCGTGCGCATAGATAGGTAAAGGATAGTCTATACACTACACTACCTCGTAAAGGTTGGTCAATACACTACAGAGCAAATGGTAACTTAGTACGCGAATATCTTCGTATAGTCGTTTGAATTAACCCTATCAAACCCGGTATCGTTGAATTCGTCATAATAATCCATAACCGATTATGGAATAAAATATAGGGTGTTCCATTGAAAAATCAAAAGTTAGGGTCGTTTCTGGTGAGACCGGATGCGACTGAACAAACATTGTTTTGTCAATTAATGAACAAGTTGGTATACTTGCTACCCCCCAATTTTCGAAATCCGATCTAGAATGACTCAGAAGATACAGCACTTCAACATCACAAGAAATCACCCCTTGAATTTTATCGGCGTTATTCAGATACACCCTGTACAGAGATGATCTCTTGCCTGACGAATTCCTGTACTTCTGTTGCACGGCAGTCTCGTAGTCCGGCGCGGGCCTATAGGAGGGCAGCAGGCTCCTCAGCGCGTCGACGTCGTTTTGGACGTTCAAGTCCAAGCAGGAGGTCGATTGGGCGCGATGGACGAGCGCCTGCGCAGCAGAGACGGGCCTGTCCCACTGCACCGACCCGTTCGTCATGTCCTCGTAGCTGTCCATCTGTCTCAGCTTGTCCTGAGAGGGGACCATGGAAATCATAATTTACAGGGTGCGACAATTTTAAGAAAAAAAGAGTCATGAAGTTGGCATCACTTTCAGTAATGTTTATTCATGTTAATAACTGGAATACTCGTGACATTATGCATGGAACTAGATTTAATTTTCATTTTTCATTTATCAATTATATCTTCCAGTCAGAACAAGTTCTGGTATGAGGAAGAACATAATTATAAAATAAGTAGTGAATGATATCTATGAACTACTACACAAACATGAGCAGAAGTGAACATGAATAATAAATCATAATAAATCAGGATATCATAATAAATCACAATAAGGTTTGTTAATCTGTGACATAACTTACTGATAAAGGACCCTGCACGAAAACACGGTAAATTGGCTCTCGGTCGAATTGGCTGAAATTTTACTATGTTATTTTGGAATGGCTCTTTAGAAAAATATGTGAGTTTGGAAAGTTTTGTATGTTTAGTTTCTGAGATATAAGCCGACAAAGTTAGTAAAAACGTCGTATCGGGGTAGGATTGACGAAAGAAAAAACTGTTCCTTTAGTATTAATAAGACAGAATAAGCTAGAAAATGTATTGATCGGAACTCAAATACATGTCTAGTTATAATCACATAAACTATAGTAAATCAGGGTGAATACGAGGCACGGTCAAAAAATTCATTTTTCGGAAAAAAAATTCGAGCACTATTCCAAAAACAACAAATTATATTTTGATGAGACATTTTAGTTTTAGTCTATTGTAGGCTTCGAAAACGTATTTTGATTTTTGATAACTATCTCTGTTCGAAATATGAATTGTTTGAATTTTGTGTTATACCCCTTTTGGAAAACAATGGACAGCTTGCTTTTGATCACAAAAAGGGATTGATTTATACTGTTGATTGAATGAAAGCTGAGGTAACTCACTAGCGAATTCAGACTACTTGAATTTTTTCCCGGATTGGGTCCTTATCGTTACCGTTTTACTGAGCTATTGAGTTTTACTTCAAAGAAAATGAAATTGCCAACTTGGTCGGAGTCACGTGACTTAAGATACATGTAAAAAGTTGAATTTTTTCGAATCAATTGCTGAAAATAGGCTCATTTGTTCGAATTTCGATAAAGTTTACAAAGAAAAATTGTTTCTATTCCAATTTTACACATTTGTCTCGAATTTGAACGTTCTATTACAACTTTCAGTTCTTGATATTTTTTGAATTCTTCTAATTATAACTTTGACAAAACTTTCCTAAACTTTTGGCATCATTTTAGTACTGAAAAAATCAATTTAAATAAATTTCGCTCCTGAATGATAGACAATACATCAACTTTTTGCATCAAACATAACAGAAATTTGAAGCAAAGATTATTTTCTGAAGAAAATCATATTTCTGTCGACAATTAGTGATTGAAAATTGGTAGCATGATGAAGGTACTAGAAAGAAATAATTTTGTCGGTGTTAACTTTTTATAGAACGTTCAAATTCAAGACAAATGATGTAAAATTGGAATAGAAACAACTTTTCTTCGTGAACTTTATGAATGACACTGTATAAACCTGTGTCCGGAAATACCCTCTTTGGCAGATATAGTGTTGAAATTGATTTTTTTTTCGTTTATTAAATACTTTTGCAAAAAATGAATTTTTCGCGCGAATTTTGGTAACCTTAATTTTTTTTATATGGAAAATCATAATTTCCGAATTTCGTATCAATTTTATGTAGCGCCGACAGGGTCCTACCTTTTTTGAAAGTAAACTTTTGAACAAACCTTGTTCCCACATATTTTTTGAGAAAAAAAGGTACACTTCCTCAAAAACACTGGGGGTGATTGTTTCCGAGATTAACAATTCTTCATATCAATACATGTTCCTTAGCTCCCAGGGCGGCTAAGTGAAGTCGAGAATCAATTTCAATAGGAAATTATACCATATATGCAGATGCTACAGTACTTCTATATAAATATAATTCTAGAATATATTATGAATGAGGACATAAGAAGATTCAGAAATGTTCCTGAAAATGTTTTAAAAAAATGAGCTTCCTCACCATAATACCACCATCTTCAGCAAGATCCCCCTTCAAAAGACTGTTGACCTTAGGGACAGTTTTTCTCCTTATGTTTATATGAAGTGAACTTTCAATTTTTTTTTTTTCGTAGAATTGCCTCTCAATTCAAGAATACTCTGTAGTGATACCTTTTTTCATTCCTCAAATATATGCGCCTAGGATGAGATTCACCCTGTACAACTCTTCAAAAAAAGATGAGTCACAGGAAGACTTCCAACAACAATAGTATTTAGAAATTAATTGTAACTTCTAGATAAAATACATTGGGCAAACACGCAGAAATCCAATCAAACGATTTATAGAACATATTGATCCTCATGATAAATGAATTTCTGAAAAAATGAATAATGCAATCTCAGAGGCGTACCATTTGAATTTCAAAAAAATATAATATTGAATATTATGATTTCAGGGGCGTACATTTCTTTATCAGAGTGGGTTACAGTAAAACACTGGTGAATTTGGTGGTTTATTTTCAATCTAGAAACAGCTAATTTTATTTTTACCTCGTTTTGGTGAAATAACGGCAGTTGAGGCGGCCCTTTATCAGTTTCTTCCGTGAAAGTGTTCATCTCATATTGCCGATAGAAAATATGTTGCAAAACACAAAAACGCCAAGCATTCTTAGCTGTTTCTACGTCGGCAAATTGAAATTCCACTCTGCCGGTCTCTCCAATGGACTCAATTATGAATTCACGCTTGTGATTGATTACATTTTTTATGTCTGACCAACTAAAACACATTTTTTTTCTTAAAGAAATTATCTCATGGTAAGGTTGTCTAAAATGTATGTGTTTTTTAATAAATATTACCTGAAATGTCTTCCTTCTTTCCCACTAGGATATCCCACAAAAACACCTTGCAAGCAGATACCAATCAAAGTATCCAAATCCCCTTTATCTTTGACAGAATATACCTCTTGTCCATAGCCATCCAATCTCTGACAGGCACAAATATAGTACTCTTCAGCAGTACCCTGTGAAAGATTGTGCAAGGCAGCATGCTGACGACTTGCAGCTTCTGTTAAAGTTTCTAACAGATTTGGATCAGTGAAATTCTACAAGCACACAATCAAATGAGTAGATATTTCAAATACAAAGAAGGGTACTTACCTTGGGAAAGAGTTGAAAATCTTTCAAATAAGGTGCAGTGTGTCTTTCAGCATCAAAATTCCCAAACTCAGCTTGCATAGAAAAACTTGCAAGCTCAACAGCTTGTTGTGGGCTGCAAGAAATTCTACCATCTATAACATCTTGTTTGAGTTGCAAAAAATAGTTGTATCTACAAGAAATCAGAGTCAATTCCACAAACTCCCAGTAGTACAAATGAACGTCTTCTACCTGGTAACTTCATCATTCAAAAGCTGCACCCCAGAAATAACATAGTACATAACCCTCAAATACACAAAAAGCCCCCTTGAATATTTATCTAGCTGCCTCTTGATAGGTCTATCCAATTCCAGCCAGCAGAGGTGATTCTCGCTGTTTCGACTGACGTACTGCAGCCCGAAAAATTTGGGCTGGTTCAAACTGAGCTTTTGGCAGACTACGTCCAAGCAATCTTGTCCAGTGCTTTCTGAAGATAGGGTACATTCTACTACAGTTCCGTCTAGAATCTCCACTGATATCACGAACAGCGATTTCGATACAACACTGTATTGCTTGGACTTTTTCAACTTCAGTTTAAATGGCATTTTGAGAATCTGAAAAAATGGTCAAGTTTAGTGATAATTCTGGAGGAATTTTTTCAACTTACTTCAGTTCATGGATGCTGAATTTGATATCAGTAAAAACTACGCCTTCCTAATGATAATTATACTTCATCAAAAATTCAACTCACATATTTTCATATTTGATTATTTTTGGGTGTTTGGATTAATGGGTTTTGGGTTGTTGTTCTCATGTCTCATGTCTGTTGTCTTCAATAAAGTCAGTCATTAAAGTGGCGTTTGACGCTAATTGATTTGCGCCATCTGTCAGTAATTAACAGAAGCATCATTCTGAAAAATGCAACTCAAGGATTACAGGAATCTGTAGGTCTGGTGAATAGCAGAAATCTGTAGGTCTAGTGAATAGCAGAAATCTGTAGTTAAAGCAGGAATCTGTGAGTCTGGTGAATAACAGGAACCTGTAATTCTGATGAGTAACACTTTGCACCTTGGTTCACTCATTTTCTGATAGATGGCAATACTCAATGCAAGTCAAATTAAACAAATCATCAAGAAATCAACCAATCACGTACTTGTTTTTTGATAAAAGTTAGCGTCAGTTTGAAGGAAGGCGTCGCTTTGCTGGAAATAATATATTTTCAAGTGCTAGTTTTCTGATAAAATTCACAAAAGCTAAATGTAAGTTAAATCATTACGCTCCTTGTCTCAGTTGAATGTTTTCATACGAATTTTGTCAATCACAATTTTGGCGGTTTGGGTTTGTTGACAAAACAACCCTAGCATGCGTTGGTCTGTTTACATTTCAAAATTTGATTAGTTTCCTCATTCTGTTTCCAATTCCTACAGAATGGTAGGCAAAGCGAAACCAAGTGCCAAAACGTCGGCGAGCATAGCAGAAGCTGCAGGTCAAGATGAAAGACCAAAGAGCCCAAGCAGACAGAAAAGCTCAAGCAGACTGAAGAGCCCCAACTCTCCTAGCAAGACGAAAATACCAACTAGACAGAGAAGCCCCACCAAACAGCGCAGCCCTGCTAGACAGAAAAGCCCAGGTAAAGTACAAAATAGATTATGACAGCAATGAATAAATTTCAGGTTAGGTTAGATCAGATATTTTCATTCAAACCCAACACAGGCAGGCAGAGAAGTCCTGCTAGACAGAGCCCTTCAAGGCAGAGCCCTGCCAGGACCAAACCAGAGCCAGTTAGGCCTCAGACACCCACAAGGACCAGTACCAGGGTGCGCAGTCCTGCCAGACTTAGGACTGCTTCTCCCTCTCTGCAAACTTCTACACCCATACAGATGCCTTCAAAGAGGAGTCCTATACGTGGGTCTCCTGCTAGAGGGGCCAGCAAAGAGCCCTCAGTAGATAAAGAAAGAGGTTAGTGCACCTGATGACCTGAAATAACTTCCTGATCAGGAAATGTATGCAAAGATGGCATTTTAATATTTGAATTATTCAATCTAATGGGTTTCAGGAAAATAATATTATGGTGATGAATCTTGAAAGTGGCATTTAGAATACTTATCTTGACTTATCTATAGAATAAGATATGCATGAATGATAAAACATTGATTGACTAACAGTGATAATAGATATTTAAAATTACTAATTTACTGTTTACTATCCTAATTGAATTAAAAATCAAATGAAATTATACAAAAACCAAAATAACATGAAAAATAAAGTTTATAAAATTCTGTTACAGAGATACCTACTAAAAAGCAGATAATAATCATTGATACAGAAAGTGATTCTGACAATCCTGAAATTGTTCCTGAAGTCAAGGAAAAACCAAAAGCCACTGTAAGGGGTAGAACAAGAGGTACTGATGGGATATTAGAACCAGAAGAGGTGAGCTATTTCAACATTTCTGAATTTCATAAAGGTGCATTTTACACTGCAAATAGGAAATAGTAGTTTACCTAACAAGTGCAGAAAGTGATACTCTTCCTCATGTGTTAGGTACACTATTTTTCCTACTAGCATGTGGAAAAATTTAAATTCTTTTTTTTTTCACTTCATGGAAAATAACATTTTCATAAAGATTCTTACTCTACAAAAAACAGGTCATGTAAAACAACAAGAATAACTGAAAATATATACAGGGTACATTTTGTCAGGTACATTGGTTACAGGGTAGTATTAAAAATAAAAACAATTAATTATATGACAGAATTTGTCACTACTTATCATTATCATGTGTTTTTATGAAAGTTCTTGAAAGGATTACAAATGTTGCCAGATCAATTCAAAGCCTAACCAAGCATTATGTCTATTTACTCATAAAGTATTTTTTCAGTTTGTTATTAAATAATTTGCTGTTACATTCTTTGATTTCAACAGGCAGTTTATTATATATTTGAACACCTTTAAAGCAAATGGATTTCTTATATGCTTCCATAGATGCATTGGGTAAGAATAACTTCTTGCTTATATCTAATATATAAAATTCTCCTGTACTCCTGTCCTGGTCACGGTGTTAGTGGTTGAACTGGCTTGACCAATTCAAATGAAATTTTTTGTGCCTATTCGGTAGGTATGAGAATCGGTCGTAATCTATTTTTTAAATCGAAAATTCAAGATGGCGGATCCAATATGGCGGACGAGTATTGTTATCCGATTCCGAAAATAGGTATTTGGGGGTTTTCAGGGTGGGAGATTATGATTCTTTCGTCAAATTTTGAAAATTCAAGATGACGGATCCAATATGGCGGACGAAATTTGTAATTATGGTCAGATTCCATTCAAAATCATTATCTGGGGGTTTTCGAGGTCGGAGATTATGATTTCTTCATCAAAATCAGGAAATTCAAAACGGCGGATCCAATATGGCGGATTCAAAATGGCGGACGAGTTTTGTAATTATGATCCATTTATATTCAAAATTGGTATCTGAGGGTTTTCGGGGTCGGAGATTATGGTTCATTCGTCAAAATTTAAAAATTCAAAATGGCGGATCCAATATGGCGGACGACTTTTGTAATTATGGTCAGATTATATCAAAATTGGTAACTGGGGGTTTTCGAGGTCGGAGATTATGATTCCTGCGTCAAAATTAAGAAATTCAAAATGGCGTATCTAATATGGCCGACGAGTTTTTAATCATGATCAGATTCCATTCAAAACTGGTATCTGGGGGTTTTCGGAGTCGGAGATAATGATTCTTCCTCAAAATCTGGAAATCCAAGATGGCAGATTCAATATGGCGGACGAGTTTTGTAACTATCATCCCATTCCATTCAAAATTTGTATTTGGGGGATTTTGGGGTCAAAGACTATGATTCTCTCATCAAAATTAGGAAAAATATGGAGGATCCAATATGGCGGACGAGTTATGTAATCTATTCAAAATTTGTATCTGGGGGTTTTCGAGGTCAGAGGTTATCGAGGTTTGTTGGTCACGTGTGGGTCAATTCGGCTTCTGTATTGGTAGAGCAAGTCCGATAAAATTTAATAAACAAAAAATATCGCTAGAATACAGAAGAAACCGTGAAAATGGTCGATTCTGATTGGTTCTCGAGATCAAGAGTGGAATAGTCAATGTAAAAATTTGCAAACGTGACTAAATCGTCTGATGTATGCATAATGCGTGGAAAAAAGTGAAAAATCATGACTCATAAACGAACGAAACTATCAAAATTGTTGGGAGAAAACGCAATTTGAAAATTGAGTTTCATATTTATTGATAACGTTCAAGTCTCAAAAAACATGTATATTGAATCTTTCATGTATACAGAGTGATCCACGGTGGATGGCCTATTAGAAGTATCTGGAGAACAAAGAGACAGGACATCCTGAAAATTGAGGTGCTTTGATAATTGAACATTCTCTATCCGTCTAAAATATTTTCATCGATACAGTGTTGCCACCTCTATCAGAAACAACTTTGTTATTTCAAATAGAACCCCCTGTATTTTATTGCATTTTTAGATTCTTCATGAAGAGCTGATTTCATCAATTTATCATACTTGGGGTCTAGCAGGAACGATAACAGAGATATAGGGTGTTCAAAATCGAGATTTTCCAATTATAGGATTTTTTTGTGTCAAAACTATTCATTATCGAACAAAACGGCATACATGTCCCTATCTCAACTTTTGATTCACTGTCTACTGGAATTTAATTGGAAAAAATACAGGGTGCTTCAAGATTCAGAATTCTGATCACCCTGTATCTGTTCCAATTAAATGTCAGTAGAAAGTGAATCGCATGTGAAGATAGTGACATGTAAGCTGTTTTGATCGATAATGAATAATTTCGACACAAAAAAAATTCTAAAATTGAAAAATCGCGATTTTGAACACCCTATATATCTGTAATCATTCCTGCTAGACCCCAAGTTTAGTACATTGATGAAATAAGCTCTTCAGGAAGAATCTAAAAATGCAATAAAATACAGGGTGCTTCATTTGAAATAACGAAGTTGCTAGTTGTTTCTGATATGAGTGGCAACACTGTATCGATGAAAATATTTTAGACGGATAGAGAATGTTCAATTATAGAAGCATCCCAGTTTTCAGAATATTCTGTCTTCTCATTCTCCAGATACTTCTAATAGGCCATCCACTGTGATTCACCCTGTATTTCATCCGTTTTTGAGGCCGAGTGGATTTCTCTCTTTGAGACAAGTTGGAGGTGAACTACACTGCTGTGGAATACACTTTTCATAATACCTTCAATCATAAAAAAATATCAAAATTGCGTTTTATTCCTTATCCACACTCATTGTTAAATGGTGAAAGAAATTTCATTTTTTCAGATGGACCTGAAGAGAGTAACCAACGACGAAACGTCATCGTACCTGATCAGACGGTTCACCCGCTCCTCCCAAAACCGCGACGTCGAAAAAGTCGTGCACCTCAAACATTTCGACTCTGTAACTGTCACGAAACGCCTCGGAGAATTCTCCGATGAAGACGACATACACGAGAAAAAACCCCAAAGCAAACCGACCTCTCAAACCCCAATTGAATTCCTCGGCCCTTACGGCGCTCTATTTTCGATCCTAGCGATGCCTGTCGCCGTTTTGGCACTCTATGCGCTCTGCAACGAGAGCCGGTGCTCGTTCGACTTACCGGACTTGAACAAATACAGGGCTTTGGATGTCTTTTTCGACGTGAAATCTTGCTTGGGGTTGTTGGCCTACATTGTCCTTCTGGCTATCTTCTCTGCTGTGCCTACAGGGGGCTCTAAAATCAGCGGGCTTCCCAACAAACATGGCAAACTGGATTATATCTTGAACGGCTTATTCGCTTTTTCTCTCATCCTTTCCGTGGTTTGTGCCTTGGAATTGAGGAACGTCGGGGTTTTTTCTTATGTTGTCAAACATCTGTTTCACTTGCTTTTCGGTTCTGTTTTGTTGGGGTTGGTTGTTTCGATTGGTGTTTATTTGAAGAGCTTTTACGTGCCTGTGAGTGCTTTGAATGCTCATGCTGTGGGACGAGGTGGGGTTTATGGGTTTTTTATGGGACAGGAGGTGAATCCCAGGTGGTTTTCTGTCGTGGATGTGAAGGTTCTGTTTTTTAGAGCGTCTGTTATCGGATCGGTGAGTATTTGATATAAATTTTTTTTATATTTCTTAGATCTCTATGGGAATGATGAAGATGTTCAGTCAGCATTGACTGCAGTGTTGACAGTGTTGCCAACATACAGGGTAACTCACGGTCGATGGTACGTTAGACGTTTATGGAGAACGGCACATAGGATCATTCTGAAATTTTGGTTACTCACGTAGTTGCTCTTGGTCTATCGATCTAAAATATTTTCTTCCTCTCTGAAGAGCTGATTTCTTCGATGTATCACACTTGGGGTCTAGCGGAAATGATTACAGAGATATAGGGTGTGAAAAATCGACATTTTTCAACTTTAGAAATTTTTTTGTCGAAACTATTCATTATTGGTCAAAACGGCTTACATGTCCCTATCTCAACTTTTGATTAACTATCTACTGATATTTAATTGGGACATATACCGGGTGATCAAGATTCTGAATTCTGCACGACCCTGTATTTGTTTCAATTAAATGTCAGTAGATAGTTGATCAAAAGTTGAAATAGGGACATGTGAGCCGTTTAGACCAATAATGAATAGTTTCGACAAAAAAATTTCTAAAGTTGAAAAATGTCGATTTTTCACACCCTATATCTCTGTAATCATTTCCGCTAGACCCCAAGTGTGATACATCGATGAAATCAGCTCTTCAGAGAGAATCTGAAAATGCAATGAAATACAGGGTGTTCCATTTGAAATAACAAAGTTGTTGCTACTTTTCGATAGAAGGGGCAACGCTGCAGAGCTGAAAATATTTTAGATCGATAGACCAAGAGCAACTACGTGAGTAACCAAAATTTCAAAATGATCCTATGTCCCGTTCTCCATAAACGTCTAACGTACCATCGACCGTGAGTTACCCTGTATATGGTACAAAGATACCCAGATTTTTCCTCCAAAAGTAGGGCGATTCAATTAAAAATTTTCCACCATGGAGATTGAAATCTAATTCGTTTAAGTTATTTTGATTTGTTTTATACCAAATCTAGGCATTTTATCAAAATTGTTGGTACAAGAAAATACAATTTCAAATACAAACATTCTCAGTTGAAAAACCTGAACTAAGTTATTGATACCGGGTGACCAGTTATATTCTGATCCATTTCAAATGCTCATATCTCTGAAACCATTTAAGTTATCGTTGTGCGGTTTGGACTAGTCTATTTTGATGTTTTTCAAGTTTTTTTTGACGTGTTCATCTTCTCACTTGAACTTCCGGTTCTACCGGAAACAAACAAGCAATAATCCAGGTATAGGGCAACTTTTTTATTTCATTGAATCACCCTGTATATTTTTTCACATTCAGAAAGACTGGTCTTTTCTCTTTCTAACAATGTATTACAAGTTATGTTCTTCTAGAAAACTATTAGAGTCATAACTCTTTGAAACAACTACTGCTTGTGGAATGGTTTAATGAGATTATGCAATGTAATCAAAGTTGACCTATACCTGAATAATGGCTTGTTTGTTTCCGGTAAAACCGGAAGTTCAGGTGAGAAGGTGAACAAGTCAAAAAACTTTAAGAATATCAAAACAGAGAAGTCCAAACCGCACAACGATAATTTGAATAGTTTCGGAGATATGAGCAGTTAAAATGGGTCAGAATATAACTGGTCACCCGGTATTATTGCAGTTAGGGAACTGGGTGGAAAAACTAAACAGATAATAAAAAAAAAAAAATTTGATAACAAAAATATACCTTTTTTTCAAAATGAGAAATTAGTTTTTTCCTTTTTTCTCATAGCTGATAGCTGGTGCAATTTTTGAGTAGCTAAACTGGTTACAAAGTGGCTATATCTGGAGTTCCTTAATGTACTTGACACTGCTGTTTTGACGTTTTTGTAAAGTTAGAGTACGGACGCTATGACAAACACTGACAGTCAAACATAACCACAAATAAATTGAAGGAAAAAGCGGGAACTGACAGTACCCGAACGTACATGACATACATTTCAAAGGTTTATCAAATTGAATTATTTGTGTATTACTTCTCAAAGTTGAAATCCCAAGTCTGAATGTGCATGTTCATGCGTAGTTGAGAAGTGCTAGACGACTACATAGCTCCTTGTGGATTTTGAACCACTTCTTGGGTACCAAGATACGAGTAAGATATTATCAGAGCACAGAACAAGAACGCTTAACGAGGGCACCATTTATGTTAGGTATTGAAAATAATCTTCCGATGGCCAGGTTCAAACCAACAATCCCCTTTAGCAATGTGAACGGCGATCTATAGTTAGTCGAGCGCTGAAGTCCATTTATACCTACTTCCGTATGTCTTGGGGAACCTTCATTATTTATCCTAACTGAAATCAGCTGTTATTGTTGACATGTCATTTGTTCATTTATTAATTACTTATTACCTACCACTCTTGTACAAGTGAAATTTTTGGATTGAAATTTACCAGTTTTTACCCCATTCTGAACTTCTTTCTTATTTCATAGGAATAGTATGTGTATTTCGTTGGTATATAGGTACATACCAAATTGATATCGACCTCCATTGAGATCCTTCAGCCTTATCATTCAATATTTCGAGAAGAAATAATTCTCTAATCAATTTATCGTACCCTTTTACCCAATCGAGGAGACGCTATGCACTCTCATACAAAAATCAAAGACAAAGAATTATATATGGATGTACTCTTCCCAGAACTTGTGGAGGAAGGAAGATGCGAGGATTCCTAATCTGAGCGAAAAACATATTCTTGTCCTTGTCTGGCAAGACATATGATTTGCTTCAAAATCGTTTGTGGTTATGTTTGATTGTCACTGCTTGTCTAGTGTCCTTACTAAAATATACAAAAAAACGTCAAAGCAGTAGTATCAAGTATGTACATTTAGGAACTCTAGTTGTAGTCATCCTTTAACAACAGAACCATAAATATTGTCTTTCAGATTCTCATCGACTTTGCCTTTTTGTACCAATCTCTGAGCCACCGTTGGACGTCCGCTCAAGATCCTGAAAATTCTGCCGCTTTCGATCCGAAATTCCTAACCACCCAACCCACCCTCTTTGTCCTTGTACTTCTTCGCACCATCTACTTCACAGACTCTCTCATCTTCGAATCAACATGGATAACCTCGTTCACAAATCGTCAAGAAGGTAATTAGTGGATCTTTTGGTAATTTTGCACTTATCATGCGATGGTTTTTTTTTTCGAAAATTTTTTTTGGTACTCGAGAAAAAGTTCGAAATTTTTTCTTACTTTCCCAGAAGTGTTGGATGCATTTACAGGTACTTGCTCTTTTTATTTTGTCATTGGACACTTTATATACTTATGATGTACTTCCATGACACATTTTAAGCTAGAAAATTCAACAGGAAATATGATTTTTATGGCGAGTTTTTCCTATTTAGTGAGCAAGCATACCAGATGACGGCCATTTAATCCATAGGCAATCCAAATACCAGATGTCAAATGTCAATAGATTGCTTTGGAATGACATGACACACGCCATTATATTCAAATGATATTCTTCCTTCTTTTCACTGAACATGGATAAATTCACAAGAAAATCATATTTCTAGTTGACTCATATAATAAAAAAAATGTGTCCAACATTGTGTGATATATATAAATTGTCCAATGATGGAAAAAGAAGGGCAAATTGTTCTGAATGCCATCCAAAGACAGGCGGAAAAGAAGGTGAAATTTGTAACTTTATAGTGAAATATCTTGATAAATAATGGTTTGTTCACATTTTCATTATCGAATTCGTGTCTTTCAGAAAAAGATACGTAAGCACAAAAAAAAACGCCAAATGTTGATGAATATGTCAGTCCATACTTATCAGTTTATGTAGTGATTGAATGCGCGCGATTCGAGCTATCGTTTGAATTTAGGTTCAATTTAATAATTTTTTCTGGGTCAACCGCAATCGTAAGAAAATTGAAAAAATGCTGAATTCACCCAGTATGTGTTCTAAATCGTGAAAAAAATTCAAAAAATCATGGTGAAATTCCCTATTCTGGGCTCCTAATTGAAAACAATCTAAATCCCAATCAAATCACGAAAAGAAATATAAATGAAGGAAAAAACAGTTGTGATTGCCATGTCAAATAACTGCGATTTTTTCAACACTGATAACTCCAACAATTCGATGCATCAGAGAGTGACGTCACTTCCATCAATGATGAAAATGTGGTGTGAAAAAGAACATGTCTTAATTGTGTCACTTCTGATATCTGATTCACATTCTTAAACGGAAATGATGTCGAACTACCGCCCAATCTCCGTATCACCAGTTTTGTCAAAAATATTTGAGTATGCCATGCTGAAGCAGATGTTGAAATTTTTAGAAATTCATAAAGTAATAACTGATCATCAACATGGTTTTCGAGCAACATTTTCAACTTCAACAGCTTTGGAATCGTTCTATACTGAAGTTCTGAATTTGGTCAACCTGAGCGAAAGCCTGATTGGGATATTTTGTGATCTCAGTCGGGCTTTTGACTGTGTTCAACACAATATTTTGAAAGACAAGCTTTATAAATACGGTATGAGGGGCAAAGCTTACGAGTGGTTATCTTCGTACCTAGATAACAGGTTACAATCTGTCAAGATTATCGATAAAGGAAATAAATATATGTTTGATCTTATGTTAAATTCACAAGGAGTTCCACAGGGATCCATTCTTGGGCCCCTGTTATTTATCCTTTACATAAATGAGTTACCTTCTGTTGTACCAGAGTCTTTTACCACTCTTTATGCAGATGATTCAACATTCTTGTTTAGTGAAAAAGACTCAAACATTTTAATGGACAAAATTATGAATGCTTTGTTGAAATTTTCTGCCTGGTCTAGTGATCAATCCTTGTTGTTTAATACAACTAAAACGAATTTTTTATCATTTCATCCTCGCCAAAAAACTTGTATCCCTAATTTTGATATATTGGTTAACGACTCAAACATAACAAGAAAAGAAAATGTGAAATTTCTGGGTGTATTATTTGATTCAGATTTGTCCTTTAAAGCACACTGTTTAAATCTATCCAAGATGTTGAACTCCAAATGTTTTCAAATTAGAAATTTAAGAAAAACACTCAATATAAATCACATTCGTTCACTTTACTTTAGTGAAATACAGTCTAGGATCAGTTATGGAATTGGTATTTGGGGGAGCTCTCCTCATGCTAAAAGTGTTTTTATGTCACAGAAAAGAATTTTAAGATGTATTTCAAACATCTCATTTGTAGATTCCTGTCGACCTGTTTTTATCAATTTGAGAATTTTAACTATTTATGGCATTTATATATTGGATTTAATCACATCAGTTCATAGAAATAAAAACGATTATGAACGAAATAGTGATATTCATGCTCTTGACACAAGATATAAATCAGACTTCTCTATACATTGCCAGCGGATAGAAATCTGTAAGAAATCACCTAGAGTAATGGGAATTAAACTATACAACAGTCTTCCACAATGTTTTAAAGATATTGCCTTGGTGCATAAATTCAAAACTAAAAATTATCTCATTGACATTGTATATTGTATTTATTGTATTTTAGTATTTTAAGGTAAACGCTCTAGTTTCGGCTAGACTTTTCAATTTTAATTTGTTCTTTTTTATGTCATTATTTGATATTATGAGATCAATAAATTTTATTCTATTCTATTCATTTATATAACAACTCTGACTAATATCTCTCGATATATTCGAATATTATACTATACATGATGATTCAAGGAAAATACTACCATAAATTATCATAATAATAGCTGGTACAATGATTATAATAATGTTTGTATTTTTTATTCTCTTCATGATAGTGCTGAAGAAATATGGAAAACTCAAATTCCTCATTCCTCAAAAATCTAATTTAGGTTTTGGATATTTGCTGGCGATGTCCTACTGCCTTGCCCCCTTTTTCTACGCCCTGCCGGTGAAGTTCGTGGTAGAAAACGGGGTGGAATTGGCTAGCTGGAAGTTGGCGGTCGTCTCATTGGTGTTCGCGTTCGGATATTTGTTGTACAGGGCGAGCAACAACCAGAAGAATGCGTTCAGAAACAACCCATACAGTCCTGCTATGTCACGTGAGTACATCATCTGGTTGACAATGAGGGCTCATTTTCTTAACCATACTTTTTGTAAAAATTAGCAATTTGGCAATCTGAGAGTGTGCGATCCTGTCAAGCATTCTTCTAAAGCAAATCTCGTTTTTTGACTTTTGAGCCATTACATTGTCATTCAAATCATCAAAAACGCGGAAAAATGCGACTTGTCTATCTCTGTAAGATTCATAATTTTAGGTTGTGAATTAATGTTTCTGTGTGTGATTATTAAATTCATTTCCCTGCAAAGAAATTGAAGTGAAAAATATATCCGGCAAAACATTTTTTTTTGGTGTGTCGGTATTTTATTCCCATCACTTTTATGAGACGTATATAGTGTTTTTTTCATCTCTTAGAGCGCATGAAAGGTAATTCCTATAATGTTCGTGGAACATCTTTTAAAGGTTATATGTTCCTGGAAATACTTCCTTTGGCAAAAAATTCCAAAGCATCGTCGTCTTTAGCAAGTTTTTAATTTATTTTGAACATTGTCTGGTAAAAATAGAGAAAAATCAAGTCACTAGATTTTTTTCTCCATATTTAGCAGACAATGATTTTGAAATTCGACTTGGTCCTTTTGCTTTAAAAAAGATGAAAAATGGCCCTAGGTCGGGGTCACGTGACGTGGCTAAATGTCAAAAATTACATTTTCTCGAATTAATCGCTGAAAACAGACTTATTTGTGTGAATTTCAAAATAGTTTAGGAAGAGAAGTTGTTTCTATTCCAATTTTACACACGTGTCTAGAATGTGAACGTTTTATGTCAAATTTTGGAGTTTGATATATTTTTTAATTTCTTCGAAATTTCTGTAATATTGATAGTATTGTAATTTCGTAACTGTTTTACTGTAACTCACTCTGATAAAGAAACGTACGCCCCTGAATCACACTTTTTTCTTTCAGAAATTCATTTATCATGAGGATCGATATGTTCTATAAATCGTTTGCTTGGACTTCTGCGTGTATGCCCAATGTATTTTATGTAGAAGAATTTCTAAATATTATTGTTGTTGAAGATGTTTCTGTGACTCAGCTATCACTACAGAGTATTCTCGAACTGAGAGGTTCTATGAAAAAAAAAAATGGAAGTTAACTCCATATAAATATAAGGAGAAAAACGGACCCTAAAATCAACAGTCTTTTGAAGGGTGAACCCTGATGATGGTCTTGTGGTATTATGATCTATAAGGCTCAGATCCGACCTGTCCTGGAATACTGTTCCCATATTTGCAGTGCGGCACCCAAACATACCCTGAAACTGTTGGTTTCAGATCAAAAAAGGGCAATTCGTCTCATGGGTGATGCCTCACTCACAAACTCACTCACTTCTCTGGAACACCGTAGAAAAATTGGCAATCTGGCTCTATTTTATAGATCTTCTGAAATATCAACAATTGTACCTTCCTTGGCAGTCCCCGCGAGATTAACCCGTCGGGTTAAGGCTTCGCACTCCTTTGTGGTCACTTTGGAGACCTGCAGAACATCCCTTTCCATAGACTCGTTCACCCAACGAACAGCGAGGCTCTGGAACACATTGCCATGGGAGGTGTTCCTCGAGGCATATAACCTCCAGAAATTCAAGAAGGACACCAATTACAACCTTATTTTCCTTGGTTCTCACGATGTTCTCTGAACATTAAGTATATCCATCCCTGAGTAGGCCATCGTTCATATTTTTTAAAGCAAAACTCAACGACCTCCGGGCGTTTAACTAATAAACCTGTCAAAAGATTACTCCTGATTTCTCGTAGATTTGGTAACAATCCCGACCACCCAAGGCCGCAAACTGGTCGCCTCCGGTTTCTGGGGCATCGTGCGCCACCCCAACTACCTCGGCGACATCTTGATGCACCTGTCTCTCGTCCCGTTCGTGCTCCTTACTCCGCCGCTGCTGGTCGGCCTGCTGACCGTCCTGATTTTGGTCCATCGCACCGGCAGAGACAACGCTCGCTGCCAGCGGAAGTACGGCGCCGCTTGGGAGAGGTATTGCAACAGGGTGAGATACGCGCTAGTGCCCAAAGTGTACTAGGTCGAGTTAAGTTTTTCTTGGTAGTTTTGTGAAGGAAGGTATTTTTACGGTTGGAGATTGAAAAGCAGACTTTTCGAACTTTGTTCCATAAATGACTATAATTGATCATTATTGTGGGACATATATAAGTTTGGGGTTTCACCAAAGACATATAAAAAGAGGGGAGACATAACTTCCAGTTTCAAATAAGTTAGGAAGAGATGGATTCAAAAAATGGCAACGCTGTAAACTGTGCTTCAATGGTAACACTTTTCTTCAGCAGCCGTGTAGGTTGAGCGAGGTGCAAGACAATTTTACGGCAATGACAATGCTATTATACCTATAAGAAAATTTTTGGGGTCTAATCTTCTAATTTTAAACGAAATATTCATAGTACTTCAGGTACCTACTTACCTGATTTTGATCTACCATTCAGTGGAATTCAAACAAATGAAACAATGTTTTTTGAAATAATGTAGTTGATAAACTACACCACTGCTTAAGTTGAAAGATACATAACCTTATTTACCGTCGAAATACCAAATTGAAGTTTGAATGGTTAACTTTTTCAACAGCCTACGCACTGGCGAACCATCATAGTAGATTGTTAATAATAATTGTCTTCATTTTATAACAAGAAACTAGAAGGAATGAAACACACGGAAGGTCCTAAAATGGTAACAAACACAGCACAACAATACTGTTACGTCGGCTTTTGACATGCGTGAATGATTTTAAGAAAAATATGCGTCACTTGTAGAGAACACGTTGATACAGCGTTGCTACAGTTATTTTCATAATAGATTATAATTTCATTAAATAATGAAATTAGGAGAATTTAAATAAATTCAATAGCAGAATCCACACATTTCAATCAAGGAAGGAACATACAGAATAAATATACATGGAAAATTTATATTATATAAGTACATAGTGAATGAATAATACCTTTCCTCGTTTTCACACCAAGGTAGGTAGGTAGGGCAATCAGCAAAAAATTTTCATGATCGTTTTCTGCTGAAAACGATATTGGATCGGGACAAAATATGAACAATTTCATCCCCTCTTTTTATATGTCTATTGATTTTAATGCAGTTACGTCAGGAAGATTGAAGTTTCAGTGCCTACCTTATTGATGTTGATTCCAATTTGAGTTTAATATGTTGGCATCATTGTGAATTGTGCACTTGTCAATGAACACGTTGTTTAGTGCTCTGAAGTTTTAGTTTACAATGAGAAATTCACGAAACGGATCCCTTTTCCATTGCTCAACGCGTTGAAATGCACCACATTTTCACTCTCAACAGCAACATTTTCGGCGAACCAGATGCCACTAATTTTCTTACATTTTCAATATTCATTAACATATCCATTATGTTGTTGAAACTCTTGAAAACCGCCATGAACATTTCCTAATAGGCGAGTGAACTGATTTTCTTTTATTTTAGAATCATCACGCAAATACCTTTCAAATTCATATTTAAAATTTTCCGGTCGATTTTTTTTTCAATATTCTGGTTCCCACGAAAAGGGATTGAATGCCAATAATTCATTATGAGTTCACTTGCTTACAATACAATATTTATTCATCCAAATTAAATCATTTTATGTTCGTGAATTCGGTGGTTAATCGTTTTACCTGTATGACCAATATGTGTATACCTCAGGGCAAGTTTATTTAAAGATTTTTTGAATCTACAAGTTTTGTCTACAATATTTTTGACAAACCTTATCTATTGAAATCACATGATTTATTGACATCTGCTCAATTGACAGGGATACCAAACATAGGAAAGTCAAATTGAATCACCATATACATATTATATGATATTATGGAGTGTTCAAATTTACTAGAAGAAACCATAGAATTTGAGTTTATTCAAATAAATATATTTCTTTGACATATGATAAAATATGTTTGCGTTTTTTATCCTCTCTGATCTTTAATATGATATCTTCACATTGATGCCTACCAGTAATGGTTTGATATTTTTACATTTTGTAAATGTATATATTTTTATGGTTTGAGATCTGGGAATTTTCGAAATGATTATTCTGGATCTTTTATCTTTGGATTGACGCTTGATTTTTAGTAATCCCGAAATATGGATTAGTTATTTCAATATTTATTGATTACAATAAGTAATGAGCATATCAAGTACAATTTCTCTTCATTTATTTACATGAAATAAAATTATATTATAATTGATTCATAAACTTTTTAGGTTATGTTTTTTGTGTAGTTAGTATAAAGAACATTAGTTCAGTATTTGGAAAATATATTATTTTGTATTTTTCAGACCAAATTCTATTTGATTATGAATATACTTGTGTAATATTTACATGACATTTAAATAAACATGGTTGAAAGAAGAATTTTTCAAGGAAACTGAACGTACTATTTTCTTTAGCAGTTTTTCAGATTAATTTTATTTAACTAAATTTTGAGGTATCCAAGGAGTTGCATATTTTTTCATAAGATTGCTTATTTTTTCTTGAACCTTCTTTTTATTATTGAAAAGTTTATGTTGATACTGTCTAAAAATATTGAAATGCTGGAGGTGTTTATAAGTTGTTTGGCAAAATATAAAATTTTTCAAAATGTCTGTGAATATATTCTACAAGCAAATCTGTGATTATTAGAAAATCTAGAATGAAATTCTGGTGACTATATTTTGATGCAGTAAATGACACTGAATATTTTTCTCTGCTCTGGCTGTCTTGTTTTTTAAAGATTTTTATTTCAGTGTTGATAATCACAGATTTCTAAGGATAATCTTAATTTTTTTTCTCTATTTATTGTCATTTATAATTATTATATTGTTCAAAAAGGCCATATACAAGTACAAAGTAAGTACAGGGTGATCTATCAAACGATGTACTTTTTCTTAACACCGCGAAAGGATTTTTTTTAAATATTTTTTACATGGGTCTTCTGAATCACCCTGTGTACTGTATTTGATCCCGCTCTCTATGATTTTGTACCAAATAGCTTTGCCGTCATTTTAAAGCTGTAATTATTGCTGTACTGATATTTTACATCAATACTTTGATCTCTAAATCAATGTGCAATTGTTTGTACAGAATATTTTATACAAAAAAATGACTAGACATATTTTCATATTATCAATGTCATCGTACTGAGTGAGCAAAACCGGACTCCTCAGCATTATTATAAAAAAGCAAATAACCATAGACAAAAAATTTGGAAAGAGGTCCTTGAATGCTAACATTTTAAGCCAAATTTGCAGTTTTTTCCATGCTTGGTAACTGAGGTAACGACGTCATCAAATTGTTCTGAGTGATAACTTCTATGGTATACACTCATAATACACTCATAATTATGCCGGTCTTATGGTACGCGGCTGCCGTGACGCGAGTTTGCCGGTTCACTCCCATCCCAGAAAGTGCCCAACGGGCCTATAGACGTTACCACTTGAAAACTCATGAGCAAATTTGGCTAGAAATGAATCTTGCTCAATGCCCACCTCTTTTCAAATTTTTCAATAATTTTTACTGTTTTTATAGTAGAGCTGAGACATCGGATTCTGTTCATCCTGTACAAAGATGGATTGTTAGTTCAATTAGATGTAGATTAGATTTTTTTTGGGGTGGAGTAGGGTTGTTCAAACAGTTTGAGGATGTCTTGTTTAGCCAATCATTCTATTTGATACCCCCTTTCATGTATTTATATTTTGAATTAGTAATAGAATAGATCCCGGTTAATAATTTTTCACATGGTTGGTATCCATATTGCGCAACCGCTGGTTTGCATTTGATATTCGAACTTGGTTGAAGACTAAGAATGGTCTTTTGTTTCAAATATTCTGACTTCAAAGTAATGAAAGGGAATGGGGAAGACCACTGAGGGAAGAAATCCGTGCAAACCTCTTTCAATCGACGAATCATGATTTACATTTTATGTACAATCAACATTATAAGTTGAAGGGAATCGAATCTATATCGTTTTGAAATCAGCATATTCACAGCCGTCTTCCACTATCAAGCCGTGCTGAGATAATGGCAACGTCGCATGAACGGAAACCGTCGGTCCCATTCGCGCCTAGCAATACAATGGTTTTTATATGAGCGCGAGCTTTGAATGTTTGGTTTAACGTTTTTCCAATTGATCCATCTGGCAGAGGGAATGTATCATACCTGATGATATCTTTTTCAATAAAATGAATTGCACATACTGCAGAACGTTGAGATGGTGTCCAGTTTTTTCGAGGTATTGCTGTTATCCACTTACTTCGCAATTCTTCCCCTTTTGGGAATAAAAAAACTGAGACATGATCCTTCCCAGCTTTTTTTCAGATCTGTAATTTGACATCCTGGCACACAACAATGAGAAGGCATATTTTATAAGGAATAATGAATTACTTATTTCCAGGAGTAAATTGAAAAAACAACACAAATTCCCTTGCAAATACACCAGCAGTAGTACACTTCACTATAACCTCCAATTTAACACAATTTTGAATGCACTTGCCACACACTTTCAGTCTCGAGTCGATTTCTAGATTGTTGCTAATACTTTAAAAATTATTTGATCTCAATATTACAATTGTAAACTTCAACAAAACCTTCCATAAATTCGTTGTTTACTTCCTACACAATACACTTTGAATGTCCGACAGGTGCACTATAGATTGCAGCGTTCGGGCAATGTTGCCAAGCGTCTTCTTCATGGCTTGATAGTTGAAGACGGCTGTGGCATATTCCATTCGATATTTCAAACAGCCAGATATGATGGTGGAGTCGTGACGTATTAGTCCCAAACTGTAGCTATCTCTCTCTGATACCTCATCATTCTGCAGTGTTGCAGTGTGATTGGTCAGTTCAAGGACAATAGGCGTGTTGGGACTAAGACGTCGCATCAGTTACACCAGTGAATTGATGAAATTTCAATGGCGCTGGAATTGTGTTTTTTGAAATGGACATCTTCTTGTTTATTTTTTTCATCGTCTTAGCATGAATGAAAAAAATTAAAATTAATTCACTGGTAGTTTTTCAGTGTA